TATTTATTTATTTATTTTAACACATAGATATTGGTACAAAGAGGCACCAAATACATATGCGCCACACAAAACTCATTCGATATGTGTGAGGGCTGTGATACTGCCTTGGCGCCCAATCCGAAGCAAGTGGTTTTCTTAGGAGGCCACTCTCCGAGCCTTCGACCTGAAGGTCTGATCCACAATGCAGAGAAGCGTCGTAAGGAGATGCAGTCCCATGGAAGCCGGTGACCACCGATTGCTTCATACGCCATTTCTTCCCTCAGGATACTGGAGCCCATGTGCTCCATTGGTTTGGGATCCGGTTAAAGAGCCAGACATTCGCTTTTCGTTCTCTCATTTTCGTAAACAACACCCCCGCCACGAGAAGGCAGTGAGTAGGACTTCTCTGGTAGAGGCTATATACGCGTGGCCACGTGAGAGCATTTTGAGAGGGAGAGCGGACCCTCCCCACTCTCGGCCATACCACGGCATTTGGGGGCCTATTCGTATATGTGCATTCTGTATGGATTTTTTAACTCATCATTAAATCAATTTTTCTTTATAACAATTTGGAAATAGAGAAAAAAAACTATCTAATTTCAGGTTCTCATAGTAATAGAATAATTTACTGTAAGTTAATTGATCTGTTTCACATGTAATTTATTACATTCCTCAATAATGTATCATATTAACACTTTACTATTTTCATAATGATAGAAAAAATTGCTTATTTGAAAGAATCACACTACTACTACTACTACTACTACTACTACTACTACTACTACTACTACTAATAATAATAATAATAATAATAATAATAATAATAATAATAATAATAATAATAATACAGTACAGAAACATAAAGCACATGATGATGTCAAGTCAGAATTTGATTATTCGATTAAGTTACTGATTGTATACACAGTAATGTAAACTAAACAAGTTGATTTTCTTTTCTAAATAAAAAATGTAAATAGTTGGAAATATGCATTTCCTACTGTATTAATGATCTACTTCATGAATGACTAAACGTTTTATTAAGGTTAATGATTTGTGAAGATTGTCAAATTTCATAGTTAGACAACTAATGAAAGTGGAACAATAATGGATTATTGTTTCGTTCTAGTATGGGACTTCTCAACAGTAGCTATCCAAGACTGCATAATGAATCGAGACTAGAGCATTCAGATTTTTGTCATACATTCACCTGCATACTCCTAACAATCACTAGTGGATCTTTTCTATTGAGACTATGAACTGAAAGCACTGGACGAGCGTTTCGTTCTAGTATGTAAGACTCCTCAGTGGTACGCATCCACGATCTCTTTCGCGATAATGGAGCCCAGGACCATTGGTTTCGTGCATGAACGCTTAACCTCTAGACCCCTGAGCAGAAAGAACACTGATCGTTCGTGATCTCGATAAAAACCTAACAATCTTCACAACCCTATACTGATGATAGATCCATGTTTGAGGAAATGTAGTGTAGGTACAATATTAGATCTAGCCACTGTTAGTAAGGTTAAATAAAAGATTACAATTAGGACAATCTTAAAATATCATGAACTGATTATTTAATAAATGTCACTCTAAAACAAAACTAAGAAAATTCGTTTTGACGATGCCATTTTCTGATGGTGTACAATCTTATTTATAGGTATTTCTTTATATATAGTAGTTTATAGTAAAATTGGAGAATAAATCAAAATTACCAAAAACTTTAACATTTGATGCGTGAATAAGTTTGACTATCCATGATAATTTTGTAGAACACCCCTATTTTACTATAGACCACTACATACATGTAAAAAGCTACGTATAAATATGATTGTATAGGTTAAGATAATGCCATCTAAAAAATTCCCTTCACTGAAAGGTATTAAGTCCTTTTCCATAATTATATATATATATATATACTTACACACCGATTATCTATCTATCTGTATATAAATAACAAATTCACTAGAAAATAGTTTTCAGTGTTTCATATTCTCACTTTCCCCCAATTCTTAACAGTTTTAGACCTTAACAGAAAACCAACTATACAGAAACAGGGTTTAATCATGTGTTATTTTTCTTTGCTTGAGTATGAATGACATTTACTATTATTGTACTGCTCACTATGAACGGATTGTTAATTAGTAAGTAACAGTTAATATGTTTATAACTCGTGTTATATCACATCCTGTAAACGATCGCAGTGATAACCACTAAATCTGAAAATGTTCATTACGTTTTTATTGTTTTATCTACAGTTGGACTAATAATATCATGTTCCAATGGTTCTTTGCGTTACCGATACTTACTTACGCCTGTCACCCCTCGTGGAGGAGAATATACCGCTCACCAGCATTCTAAATTGAACTCTGTTCTGGACAATCCTTCACAGCTGCTATTCATCCTTTTGATATCTACCACCTATTCTCGGAGTAGTGTGTTCTTTGGCTTTCCTCCTTTCTGTTTCTCTTCAGGATTCCAAGTTAGCGCTTGTCTCGTGATGCAGTTTGATGATTTCCGCAATGTATATTCTTTCCATTTCCAGCGTCTTTTCCTAATTTCATCTCCATTTGGAAGCTGGTTTGTTCTCTCCCATAAGAGGTTGTTGCTGATGGTTTCCGACCAACAGATATTGATTATCATACGCAGACAATTGTTTCGAAATACTCGTACTTTCTGATGATGGTTGCCGTAGTTCTTCAAGTTTCAGTCCATACAGTAGGACTGTCTCGACGTTCGTATTGAAAATTTTAAATTCGATATTGGTTACCAGATGGTTGTTTTGAGATCCATATGTTCTTCAACTGTAGAAATGCAGCCCTTTCTTTATCAATCCTCGTCTTTACGTCTACATCCCTTTCCGGTTGCCCTTTATAGTAGTTTGTTCTTCTTTCAGTAGATCTCGTAGGGCTTCAACCTGTTGTTGAGAATTATCTTGAATTCGTTGAGGCTTCATTTAACCTTTGTAATACTGTTTCCTCAGTTGCCCATCGCTTCTTTATCTTGAGTTTTATCTCGGCCACAACCAAATGGTGATCTGAAGCTAATGTCAGTCCCTCTCTTAGTTTCCAACTCTTCCATTGACTTTATGAATCTTTCATTGATGGAAATATGATCAATCTGTTTCTCTGTAATATGATTCGGTGAGACCCATGTAGCTTTGTGTATGTTTGTGGGGGAATTCAGTTCCACCTATAACCCTTTTGTTGAATGTATGAATCTATGTTGTCCGATGATATCTTCATATCCAGTGTTGTTCATTCCGACTTCGGCATTTAGGTCTCCCAAGAGGATTGTCAAATCCTTTCCTGGACACTTCGTTATGATCGATCGCAGCCTCTCGCAAAACTGATCTTTATCGTCCGCATTGCTATCATTCGTTGGTGTATAACATTAGATAACACGCTTTGTGATTCCCTCCTTCTTTATTTTGAAAAATGTTTTGATGGTTCTGGATCCATAAGATTCCCATCTTATAAGTGCTTATCGTGCTTCCTTGGACAGCATCAGAACAACTCCTTGAGTGTGTGGAGCATTTTCTTCGTGACTAGAGTACATAGCATCTCCCCCGAATCTTTTTTTTATGTTCATCTTGGGTCTAGCGGAATTTACTTATTCCCCATTTACGTTGTCATTTGACCGACCCTTCCGGTTTCCTACATTGTCCGGACATTCCATGTAGCTATATTAATTGTTGCACTGGTTGTTGGAAGAGTGTCGGCCTCGTAACTTCCGAAGAATCTCTGCTTTCAGCATGAGGTGTCATAATTCTTCCATCAACTTCCAGGTCAGAGTTTAAATGGTTTAATGTTTAATCTGGTTAGTTTTTATAGTAAGATTGTTTCCTACGAGATGGGGTTACTAACTCCATGCCCAACCGTCCTTCTTTAGCCGGGCTTGTGATCGGCAATAACCCTATAAGAGCTACAATCGTAGACGCGTTACTTATGCTTACTCTTAATGTTATTGATAATTCTTTATTCGCGTAAAACCGTAGTCTTCACAATGATTGACCATTGAGTGTTATATTATGTGGTTTCTAGAGTTAGTCAACCATGCAGTGTTGCTACTTAACTAAGTGATCCAAATCGCTTTCGATTATCTAGCTCCGAATAAAGTGCACCACAATGTTGAGTTGATTTCATCAGCTAGTGTCAAGTCTTGGTCGGTTGGCCCAGCTTTCTTCTACTTCATTTCTACATTAGTCAACATCACGAGTCTAGGTAGGCAGTGGATGAACCCACGTGACATAACTCAACCACCTCAGTAGATCAAAATTCTTATGGACTGGTCTATGTTTGTCGGTTTGCACCTGATCTCAACTCGGTTCATCCAACATGCTTCGAAGACGCCTACGATTAAATACCAGTAACCTGCGTATATCTTCAACGTTTAAAGGCCACGTTTCACATAACATAGTAAACTGCTGCACATCCTTTATTTGACAGACAGGTATGTCATCAACACCACAAATTGACAAAAGCTAATCCAACTTTCTGTACCCCTGTCAATATTTTGTCTGAAACCAATTCACATTCACGGATAAGACTTTCAAGGTAAGTGAAGTGGGTGGTGCGCTCAACTATTTCACTTCCTGTAATTAGTCTAGGCTATGACTCAGACCAGTCCTTAGGGAACACTATTTTAAAAGGGAAGAAACTCATCCCAAACATGTTTAGTGGACGCGACTTACAAGATTATTTGTAAATAGCGTTTAGTGGATGCGACTTACAAGATTATTTGTAAATAGCGTTTAGTGGAACGTGACGTTGAAGTTGCTACAATTGTCAGACAGAGTGAAGAGTTTCAATGCATCAAAAAACGGCGTTGGTAGAACACTTGGAGACTAGACAAGAAGACAGTTCAAATAGCAGAACACACCGAAAGGTGCGATTGAAGACTATATATACGTATTATGTATAAACTTTGTAACTTCTCTTCTCAATAAGCACACATTTCTCCTCTTTATTGTTGTGTTTTACACTTGCATTGTTGCTCACAATGATGAAAAACGTCTCAAACCAGTTTTAAGCAGATACATTTACCTTAGTTTATGTAAAAACACACAAGATATTAAGTTTTTTTTAAAAATCATATTCGTTTTACCAATATAATACGATATTAATCAATTATAGTTGTATAAACAAAGAATCTAACGAAGTATAATGAGCAATTCATATTCACATAACTGATAATAATCAAAATGTGTTTATTCCTATATAATCCATGGAAGAAATGAACGTAGATAGATGACTCAATCAATCACAGTTATTCATTACAAACAATGAAGTAATAAAGCTGTTCCAGCTTGAATCCATTGTTTTTGACTACCTGAAGGACAGGGGACTCGAATATATGTCACCAAATGTTCACGAGTATTATTTGTATAAATTGGTAAATAAATAGAATTGTTTTCATTCAATGAATCTTGTTCATCCTTAAATATACATATTAAAATAAAACCAATTACATAATGAATACGTGTTGTACTAAGTATCAATTAAGATTATAATGTTTACAAACATAATGACAAATGAATCAATATTGTAATGTGATATAACGTGGAAAAATTCTAGTTTGTAATCCTACTCTTGGAATATAAGATAATAGATCACTATTGATTGGGGCACTAGATCACAATACAATACCATATCATATATTTGATTCGATTAATAATCATAGACCAGTATAGACTAGACAATAGTTTATTGACATAAAATACATAAATTCAAGTACAATTAACAATCTTATGTAGTCTTGTATATAGTTAAATGTGTCTATCTGTTAATCATTTTGACAAACAAATCACAATGTGTAATTTTAGGTTTTACTAAACTTGAATAATGGGTCAAACTGACGTAGATATCTTTATTCATATAAGTGAAACTAAATCAAATTACTGATTCACATCCATTGACACTAACAAATAAAATTGGATAATTTAATATATAGTAGTTATCTAAATTCAAATGAACTTAAAGTAGTATCATTAGAAAAGAGATTGAAGTAGACTTGTAGACGACTAATGTCCTGTTGCTCTGTGAACAATCTAAAAATTTTAACACCGTTGGATGCCGGCTCAGTGTTCTAGTTGATTAGGCGCCTGGCGCGAGACTGATAGGTCATGGGTTCGAATCCCACGATGCGGGGTCGTTGATGCGCACTGCTGAAATCTCCCGTAATAGGACGAAACGGCCCGTCCAGTGCTTCCAGCTTATCCATGGTGGTCTAGCTTCAATTGACTCATGATCTCAACTGTTGAAAGATAGGTGTCTTTATGTATAGATCGATGACTAAATTTCGATTGTTAAAAGATTGGAAGCAATCTATATAGAAACTGATTAGCTTTACTAAATAAACACTTGATTCATTTTTCTAGCCTCTCTTAATAACCCTAAACTAAATCTACACGTCGACTTGGACATTGGAGACAAGGCGCGAAGACTGGTGATAAGGATGTGACTCCCAAAATAAATCAAAATGATTTCAGAATACGAAATTGTCATTAACAATGATAATTCAATAACTTACTGTGTGAACACAATATTGCACAGTGAAGGATCTATAATCCTTCTTAAGATGTGAATACATGTCACATACGTTTGGAAACAAAAATGGATTTCATGTGTTATTCCCATTTTAGTTGATTAAGTTATTTATTACTCGCCATATCAAAAACCTAGACAAATTTAGTGCTTGCTGGTATTCTACAACTAGGTATAATCCCAACCTTGACGGTAGTGTTGTATGTAGGTTTCGAATCTGATGTGTAAGTCCCGAATGACCTCCTTTGGGGATGAGATCCTAGTACTTACTGATCACTGAATTTTGAATAATGTTATGCTTATCTAGTCCTCACTTCTATGGATTAAACTGCTAAGTTCTATGTATGTATTTGGGTAGCCAGCAACCTTACTTCCTTCCAATAGAGTGCTGTTTGACACACATGTCTTACGATCAAAAACTTTATTTTACTGAGATCGAGAACCGATTCAGTGTAGACAACTGCTTAAAATCTTGGAGCACTAGATGGACATTTCGTCAGTATGAGACTTCTCAGAAGAACACGCCTACGACTTTCGGCCTCCCTCGCGGATGCTTAACCTCTAGACCACTAAGCTGGCATCCAATGGTGTACAATTCCAACATTGATGATTTCACGATACTGAGTAACCATTTACTATTGTCTGTGGTGGGTAACTTCCTCACATTCAACATGGTCGGTCTAATAATTTGTTGAGAATGTCTTGGAATTAAATGAATTCATTTACAAGTTTCAGCAAAAATTGCAAACTATCTCACAATAGAAAAATATCCACATTTTTACATTTAAAATAAACAAAGTTTTCACCAATCAAAAATGGAATTTTCATGACATCTAAAATCAAATGGTTTCACTTTTAAGTCTACCCTTTTCTCTAAAAACTCAGCCTGGAGTCCCTCCGGGGGCTAATGCCGGTCCCTAGCTCAGAAAAAGGAGGAGGGTTGGGCATGGGGTTAGCGACCCCATCCCGTAGAAACCCAACTCGCTAGAAAAACGCTAACCAGAAAAAAATTATTCAAACCATTTAAACTCTGCCCTGGGAGTCAGAAAGTCTTCATTTAGAAGAGTTATGACGCCTCATGATAAAAGCCAAGTCCCTTCGGAAGTCACGAGGCCGATGCCCCTTCTGACAACCAGACCAACCATTTATTTAGGTACATGGAGTGCTCGTACAATGTGGGAGACTGGGGGAGTCTTCCAAATTGCTTCAGAAACGAGAAGATATAACCTCGAGGTGCTTGGGATCAGTGAAACACATCGGACGCAAGTTGGACAACAACGACTAACTTCAGGGGAGCTTCTGTTATACTCCGGCCACAAGGAGGAAAATGTCCCATATACACAAGGAGTTGCATTGATGCTGTCCAAACAAGCACAAAAGGCACTTATAGGATGGGAATCTCATGGACCAAGGATCATCAAAGCCTCCTTCAAAACAAAAAAGTAGGGCATTACAATGAATATCATCCAATGCTATGCGCCTACCAACGACTACAATGAAGACGCTAAAAACCAATTCTACAATAGGCTGCAGTCAATCGTCGAGAAGTGCCCAACAAAGGACCTGACCATTCTGATGAGAGATTTAAATGCCAAGGTTGAAATAGACAACACCGAATATGAAGATATCATGGGACGACACGGACTGAGAGAAAGGAACGAAAATGGTGAGAGATTCGCAAACCTATGTGCCTTCAATAAACTGGTCATAGGCGGCATCATATTCCCACATAAACGCATTCGCAAAATCACATGGACTTCACCGGATCACACTACACAAAACCAAATCGACCATATTTGCATCAACAAAACGTTCAGGAGGACTACAGAGGGCGTGAGAATCAAGAGAGGAGCTGATATAGCATCAGATCATCACTTGCTGGTCGCCAAGATGAAATTGAAACTCAAGAAGCACTGGACAATGGGGCGAACAATATCACAAAAGTTCAATACGGCCTTTCTTCAGGATACTAGCAAACTCAACAAATTCAAGATAGTCCTCAGCAACAAGTTCCAGGCCTTTCACGATCTACTCAATGGAGAAGGAACTACTGTGGAGAGCAACTGGAAGGGGATCAAAGAGGCAATCACTTCAACATGTCATGAGGTCCTGGGTCACAAGAAGCATCATCACAAGGAATGGATCACTGTTGATACACTGGATAGGATTCAAGAAAGAAGGAACAAGAAGGCAGCAATCAATACCAGTCGAACAAGAGCAGAAAAGCCAAGGCACAAGCTGAATACACAGAAGTAAACAAACAAATGAAGAGGAGTATCAGAACCGACAAACGTAAATATGTGGAGGATTTAGCAACGACGGCGGAAAAGGCTGCAAGAGAAGGGAACATGAGACAACTGTATGACATAACAAAGAAACTCTCTGGAAATCGTCGCAAACCAGAACGACCAGTGAAAAGCAAGGAAGGCGAGGTAATCACCAACATTGAAGAGCAACAAAACAGGTGGGTAGAACACTTCAAAGAACTCTTGAATCGACCAGCTCCAGTGAACCCACCCAACATCGAAGCAGCACCCACGGACCTCCCAATCAACGTTGGCCCACCAACAATTGAAGAAATCAGCATGGCCATCAGACAAATCAAGAGTGGCAAAGCAGCAGGATCAGACAACATTCCAGCAGAGGCACTGGAAGCAGACGTATCGGCAAGTGCAAGGATATTCAACATTCTCTTCAATAAGATTTGGGACGAGGAACAAGTACCAAGAGACTGGAAAGAAGGACTTCAGGTCAAAATACCACGGAAAGACGATCTCAGCAAGTGTGATAACTACAGGGGCATCACTCTTCTCTCAATACCGGGAAAAGTCTTCAACAGAGTATTTTTAAACAGGATGAAGGACTGCGTAGACGCCCAACTTCGTGACCAACAGGCAGGATTCCGTAAGGATAGATCGTGTACAGACCAAATCGCAACTCTACGGATCGTTGTGGAACAATCAATTGAATGGAATTCATCACTCTACATCAACTTCGTTGACCACGAAAAAACATTTGATAGCGTGGACAGAACAGCACTATGGAAGCTTCTTCGATACTACCGGCGTGCCTCAGAAGATAGTCAATATCATACAGAATTCATATGATTGATTAAACTGCAAAATCGTGCATGGAGGACAGTTGACAAAGTCGTTCGAAATAAAGACCGGTGTCAGGCAAGGTTGCTTACTCTCACCCTTTCTCTTTCTCCTGGTGATCGACTGAATCATGAAGACATCAACGTCTGAGGGGAAGCATGGGATACACTGGACGGATAGGATGCAGTTGGACGACCTAGACTTCGCAGACGATCTGGCTCTTCCATCGCACGCGCAAAAACAAATGCAGGAAAAGACGACCAGTGTAGCAGCAGTAGGTCTCAATATACACAAAGGGAAAAGCAAGATTCTCTTATACAAAACAGCATGCAACAATCGAATCACACTTGACGGAGAAGATTTGGAAGATGTAAAAACCTTTACATATCTGGGCAGCATCATTGATGAACACGGTGGAAGGCGCGCATCGGCAAAGCAAGAACTGCATATCTACAACTAAAGAACATCTGGAACTCAAAAACAATTGTCAATCAATGCCAAAGTCAGAATTTTCATTACACATGTCAAGGCGGTTCTACTGTATGGGGCGGAAACCTGGAGAACTACTAAAGCCATCATCCAGAAGATACAGGTGTTTATTAACAGTTGTTTACGCAAAATACTCCGGATCCGTTGACCAGACACTACACTATCAGCAACAATCTACTGTGGGAGAACAAATCAGATTCCAACAGAGGAACAAATCAGGAAGAAGCGTTGGAAGTGGATAGGACACACGTTGAGGAAAGCACCCAGCTGCATCACAAGACAAGCCCTCACATGGAATCCTCAAGGCCAAAAGATAGGAGGAAGACCAAAGAACACATTACGCCGGGAAATGGAGATAGACATGAGAAAAATGAACAAGAATTGGATGTAACTAGAAAAGAAGGTGGAGGACAGAGTGGGTTGGAGAATGCTGGTCGGCAACCTATGCTCCATTAGGAGTAACAGGCGTAAGTAAGTTTTTTTTAAAGTTTTGTTTACAGTCAGTTTTAAAACAACAAGTTAATCAAAAGTTATCCGAAGTCTACCATTTACTGGTATTGTGGTATGAAGACTGGAATATATCGACCATCGAACAAATGATAGTGATTTAAATAGTTTAAACAAAACAATTATTACTTGTTGAATCCATCGTAACAAAATATCAGGTAGTTGAATAAGACTTGAATCATTTTGGCAACTTTGACTAAGTTGACCATTTCGGAAATTGGCACCCTCCAATTTCAAATTCGTAATACGTATTGGTAATGATTGACTATTTCCAGAGGATTTATTCCTACGATCATTTGATTCCAGCCATTGACATGATAGTTTAAGTGTGTCAATTGGTACATTCAAGCATCTTGCACTTTGTTGACGTAAAGCGTTTAAAAAGGTGGCCGGATGAAATAGATTGGCTAAGTCTAAAGATTGTACATTTTGTTCATTGGAAAACTGATTGTTTTCTGCCTGTTTGGTCCACGTCTAATAACAATTAAGAAGATATACAGAACAAATCGGTTGAAATAAAGAATAATTTCATTCGTTATGGTCTATATTAGAAAGTTTCAGTTAACAATGGTCATGTTAATATTTTGATTAAGTGCTTATATAGAAGCTAGTTTGATTTTTAAATGATTTTTGTCATGGATTAGTAAGACTTAAGAGAAATGAACCATTGAATTCCAACCAAGTAACTCAAAGCTTAGACGCTTATCACTTAAATGAGATCCCTTACTGGGTACGCACCGTTAGTAAACCGTCAATGAAGACGAAACAGTTCTCCAATGCTCAGTGGCTGTCTATGGTACCATGACTGATATCGATCCTAAACGAAAATAATGTACAGATCATAATAATATAATCGGCATTACTTACATTTCCATATACATTGGTTTGCTATTAAATGGTTAAATCGAATTGACACAAAGCTTGTAATAGTTAACTGGTATGTCTGTACGAATTAATGTGATAGATAATAGAAAGGGATATATGTTGAATACACACAAACAGAGAATTAATACGATCACCTCCTTCCCATATTTTTTGTTCCTGTGAGCTGCAAAATATTAGCAAATAACACCAGATCTATGACTGCCGTATTTCAAACAACCTGACATAGGTTATCCAGATTCTAATCTTCCAAATCGATTAAGCATTAGCAATGTCACACCAAAAAATTTAATTGTATTGGTCACAAAGACAAAACGCCCTGTCTCTTTCATTGCCTTGATCAGCCTTAAGTTCAGTAATTCCTAAATCATCCCCAATGAAATTGTGTGTTATAGTGAAAACATTAATAGATCCAGTATACATAATTCCTTCCACTCATTGATAATGCAACTTAAACTAATCAGATCATTATCACAAAAAGGGGGGTTTTGTGAAGATTGTAGTAATTTATAATTTGAATTCATGAGTCGACTAAAGCTAGACCACCATCAAGATTAATCACTTACCTTCCCACAAATTTAAAAACAACTACACTATTAATGTATACAATCTTATGTATTGTGTGATCTACTAAACACGTGACCTGATTGCGAAATTCTCACTGACACACACTTGACATATATATAGATGATTGCAATATCCAGAAACCAAAATCAAACTCTAGATATACATATTTCGATAAAAATATATTTTGGTGCATAGCTCTTATGAATAATGTTATAACGATTTCGATGACACTCAAAACAGAAGTAAACTCATGTTTCTAAACGTAGTCAGAATTCATTAAATTCCGGGTATCCTAGTGAAAACTCAAAATGATAAACTTGTTGTGCTAATAAGGATTGCTTTCGGTTCTGGTGAGAATGATGGCTTTAATACGCATTTCAGATCCCATATGGGTTCCTTAAACACTACTTTAATGATTTATCCATTCACAAAATGGGAGTCATACTTAATCTGTACCTGGCTACGATTCTTGGTCGAGAGCCTTCAACTAGAAGTGTCCTTTAGAGCTGACCCTATAAATATTAATGGTGATTGGTTAGAAATCTATTTTATTTGAAACAGTTATTTACTGCTAAGCAGTAAAAGTCCTTTTCATGTTAAACTTGCATACTTATCATTAAGAAATAGAGAACTGAATCGATATACATGCGTACCAGTTGCTAAATTAATGGTGACTGTTAGACTGAATGAAGTATGTGACAATACAATCTCTTTAAAATTTAAATGAAACAGAAAGAAATGTCAACCCACAATATATGAATAACTTACTTGTACAGCATTCGCTTTAACAACTAATTCTCGTAGGAAAGGGACTACTTCATTCGGTCCTTCAGGCCATTGTAATAACCATGAATCAGGTGTTTCACCATGTAATAAACTATTAGCTAATTGATGCATAACTCCAGTTACTAACTGAGTCCCTTTACATGCTCGTGCAATACTAGCTAAACTTAAATGCACATGTTGAATAAGCTGAAGAGCGTTATGTAATTCTAAATGTAAAAATTCTTGAATCGGACTTTCTATTGTTGATCTATTCTCAGAACTGATATCGTCTCCTGACTTAGACAGGGTAGATTTGTTAGTTTTGTTTGATGTTCGAGACTGAGAAAAAAAAGTAGTAACACCAAAGTAGACATCAATCAAAAATCTATACATTTTTTACCAAGCCTAAAAACTTTTTTTGCATAAAAACATTGTATAGTAAGGTAATTAAATATTAAGTCGTTCGCTATTATGTCCATAGAATGCTTAACTGACATTTGCTTGGTACTGAAACCCCATAATTTACACCCATCCTAAAGTCTTCAGATGAATCGGACTCGATTACTGTTCAACAGTTTCCGTTTATCGTTGACTATGCTTGTTTAGTGTAGTTTTTGTTTTATTTTCAATGTGATATTTATTCAGGAAAAAAATTCTTCCCATTGATTCAGTGTAAAATTCGTAACTTCTGAGACCTATTATTCGACTAATATTATCTATATATTCTTATGGTATAACTATTTGATTAGATTATGTATATCTATATTCCGCTTATTATAAGCTTTTACTATTCTTAAGTTATGTCCAGTTTATTGATTGCAGTCTCCCATGTTCACAGCCACTATTTGGTTTGATCTTGTATAAATGTGTATTTCCTATTTTATGGTGTAATGTGGTCTATTTGGTTGGTATATAAACCAGGTATGTTTGAAATAAATGATTCGCATAGTGGAAGCTCGTGTCGGTGTTCTGGACTCAACTGGAAGGGCCAGGAGGGAAAAGGACCAATAGGCACGCTGGGATGCTTATACCGGTCGGATACATTAGTTTGGCACAGTACGATGATTGTATAAGTCGTATTTCGATTGACGAATAAATCCCGTGATAATTGACCGGGGTTAAAGACACAATAATTTCCCATGTATGTGATAAGTGTTAACTAATCATCAAGTATGAGTAAATATAATATGTATATGAGTGTATTCATGAATCATTTCGATTTATTTCAGGGGTTAAATAAATCCATATTAAAAAATTTTGTGTTCTCACTACGAATCATCGAATTAAGCGCAATCCAGTTCAATATTCCACGTACATAAGAGTGACCGATACAACAGTGAATCAATGTTGATCGATATAATATTAAGCTCAGAAGGGGTTTTGTGGAGATTGTAGTAATTTCAATAGTTGAGATCAGCAGTCGTGGATGCACACTGCTGAGGAGTCCCACCATAGAATGAAACGACCGTCCAGTGCTTCCAGGTTTTCCATGGTGGTCTAGCTTCAACTGACTCATGATCTCAACTATTGAAATAATCTTAAGCGCCTGGAACCTAGTTGTACGTGATCAAGAATCATGTAACCAGTTTACTTCTATGGAGGATCAACATACGATTTCTAATGTTTTCAGTTTTGTTAGTAAATTCGAATGTATTCAACTATATGACAGTAGATTATTTAGCTGAAAATTCGATTTAAAAAATCACTAAGGGCTATTTTTAAAGATAATACAAAGAATAAAATAGATCTTTTCAAATAAATTGAGCACTTAGCCGGCGGCCATACCACGTCGAAAGCACCGGTTCTCGTCCGATCACTGCAGTTAAGCGACGTTGGGCCCGGCCAGTACTTGTATGGGTGGCCGGCCAGGAATACCGGGTCCCACCGGCTTTTTTTTAATAAATTGGCCCTCAGATTGCCTGGCACGGCCAAGAGTGGAGAGAGTAAGCTCCTCCTCTCCGAAATCTCTCACATGACCACGTACATACAACTACTGTCACGGAAGTCCTACTCACTGCCTTCTCGCGGCGAGGTTGTTGTTTAACAAATTGAAAAGACGAAAAGTGAATATACGGAGCTTTAACTGGGCTGGTGGATATGGAGGATCCACCTAGGGGAGTTGGAAAACCTTCATTCTTAACCAATGGCGCACATGGGCTCCAGTATCCTGAAGGAACAAATGGCGTATGAACCTATTATTGATCACCGGCTACCATGGGACTGCATCTGCTGACGTTGCTCAATTGCCTCGTGGATTAGACCTTTAGGTCGAAGGCGCCGAGTGTGGTCCCCTAATAAAACCACCTAATTCGGTTTGAGCAGCCGGGCAGTATCCCAGCCCTCACACAAATCAAATGAATTATGAGGCGCATATCTATTTTGTGCCTCCTTGTACTAATGTTTATGTGTTTAAATAAATAAATAAAAATACTTCATTAGAGGACATAAAAACTTGAGTGATGTTGGAAATTAAAGACGGCCATCAACCTTTTGTGTTGATGAGAGGATGGAACATTCCAGGTATTTTGTTCATTTAGACTGCCAAACCACCATCAAGATAATTGTTGAGATTTTCAAGAAAATTGTCTATGTTTACTATTCGAGCAAAATATCTAGCGTAGGGTGAATCGTGTGAAAAAATACGACGGCTAAAAAGTCTAGCTCTTGATAACTTTCAGACATGTTCAGAGTAATGAAGCCGGAGATGGAACCAGTGTATTTTCACAAATAAGGAGAAATTCGAAAGCGGTAAGATTTTTAAAAATAGTTTCCATCACCTTAGCTCTCATATTTATTGGACGGATATTGTATAGTTCAGCTGGTGACATGAAGGCTATTTATCATCACCCAGTTAAAATGAATAAATCCCTTAAACATTTAACTTACATCAAAGTACTCCACTTTACTCTGAATCCGGTCGAATAAGATAAAGTTGTCTGATTTGTAAATGAAATAGAATATCTCGAAAGTTAGAAAACGTAACTCTTTAAATTTAATAATCAGTAATATGAATTATACATAAAGTTAGTGAACTTACTTGTAATAAATTTAAACCTTGATTAAGTTTCTTCCATAATATCAATATTGGTCCTAATTCTTTACTCCATAGACTTTTATCAAATTTATGTTTAGTATCCATGGCAGGTCGATTAAGTAATCTAAGTTGAGCAATTACACGATTGGCTTCACTTCTTTGCATACTATTTTCAATATTAGGTGATAAATTAAAATATATAGGAAGATCGTGATCAGGCAAAGTATTGATTTGAACAATATAGTCCTGTAATAAGATGAAATTGAATATATGCATATAATTAGATTTAGTTTAATAAGATGTTTTAGCTTATAAATTGCATTCCTTAGTCGATATTTATTTAGGGACTCGACAAATATGACAAAAGAGACTGATCGATTGAAGTTTTGTTAGGTTTGAAGCTTCACGAGTTCACTTAAATCTGCGAACGAGAACAAGACTCAGTGACCAAAGACCAGTAATCTAGATATTGATGCGTTCCAGCCCCCCTCTAGAAGGAGAAGTCCAAGCTTGGTATGGAAAATATACTCTGCAAACAGCCGGAAAACAAGTGAGCCCACAAACACAATTTAAAACGTATATACACAAATATATATATAATCGATATTGTCATGGGAAATTTTTAAACATTAATCAATGAGTTTATCAATTGACTGCTACTTAAACATTTAATCGATAAGTTCATCAATTGACCTATCTGCACATTTAATCGATAAGTTAATCGATAAAATGAAATTACAAAATATGAGTTTTGGGGATCTATCGTCCCCAACAAGTCTTAAACATCAATGAAAAGATTCGAACAACGATTTCAAACGAATTCACCTCGACTGTTTTAAGCTCGCCTTTCTCAGCTCTCGAACTCTTCTGTATGAAGACCCTCCAACTACTAAAGCAAAGTTTAAGTGATTTAAATGATTTTTTTCCAGGTGAGCGTCTTTTTTAGTAAGTTTTTTCTACGGCATGAGGTTTCCGACCTCATGCCTAGCCTACCTCCTTTATCCGGGCTTGGAACTGGTAGTAACTCTAGAAGAGCTTCATGCGGAGTAAAAATTAGACCTAATGGTTAGATATTAATAATTGATTGGAGAATGAGTGAATTACAAATCAATTTTCTTCAATCATCTGTGACATTTTATCATTTTATTACGTAAGAAAAATCTACTCTTCAGGTTAGCGCCCTTGTCTTATATTTCAAAATCCTTCAGAGGCTTGTAGTAATAAAACAATCTCATGACCGACCATCAATCGGCCACACTTTATATCATTGTTTATCATCCATTGATCAGTATTCTATTCACTAATTTCATCAATAACAAGTTCATTCATCATATAATAAAATCTTTGTAACTCTTAAGAAGTGATACCACTTACCATTGAGATACAAGATGCAACATAGAATTACTTTAAACAAGTGTATAGTATAGAAATAAATTTAATTCATAATTATGATGCTTAATTACAACCAAATAATATTCTCTATTTATTTCAATGAATATATCGATAGATTTCAAACCTTCATCACATTGATACAAAACATTAAGTTTAAACAAGTTTACTGAATTTTGTTAGATTTCATGGATACAAATACATGTCAGTCATGGATTAATTAGCTTTACTTTGGAAAATTCAAAAGTGTTAATCCTTTTGATAAACCATTCATCAATAGTACATTTATAAGCTTTATTTTGAATACTTTTTACAATACATACTGACTTTGATTAAACACCAACGAAAATAAGAAAGCACTGAGCAGCTGTTTTACCGTTGTATGGGATTTCTCAGCAGTTAGCACCCACTTAGGACGGGTATCATGACATTTAGACCTCATTTAGAAAGCATTACTTTTAGACCTGTGAGTTAGGATCCAAAGGTCCACATTTCTAACTTCAATAAATTCTTGATACTATGTGACTATCATCTATCGTCATTGGCGAAATTTGGTTCTAGGAATGAAATAGTTGAATTCCACTGGCCACAGCTTTACAGAACTTCAAGCATCACTACACAGATTTAGCTGCTAGTGAGCTCATGATTTAGTGTTATTATGAAGTAATGTTGAACTTCGAGTTTCACATCACAAACTCACTTTATTTCATTAACTGAAATGTTATATACAATAATTCACATCCGAATCACTAACTGGATATGGCATGTAATCTAGAGTGTTTAAACTTTTCCACAGTCAAAGATCATCAAAAGTTGAATATGCAAATGGATATAGAGAAATGGAACAGGTAAGTGACTAGTTACTTAAATCACAGAGTGAATGTGTTTGTGGCACTAAAATGGAATATTATCATTATCAACTAGGGATTTATGTCACCTTGAGAGTCACAGCCGGCTAGACATTTTTCTTGAATAAATAACTGAAACAAACAGTCAGATATATCATGGAATAGGGATCAAGAATCTAAATCATTGGATACTGTTTCTGTGTTCTATTGGCCAAGAGCTCGTCGCGAAAATTAAATGCCATCGGTTCGATATCTAATTGGGTCCTGGATGTCCACTATCACTGTGACGAAATAGCCGATCACTGCTTTCTGGTGTAAAAATGTTTGGTTAACCAAAGTCAGTTCGTCACATCAAACTTCAAACTAAATAAACTTAACAACTTTTGTAAAGATTATAAATATTTTGAGATGAATTGAAGTTATTTCATTTTTTCTTTTACTCCGAATCGTCCACATACGGACTAAGTTGTACAAATAAATAAAATGCTTTACAATCATAACTCTATGTATAATAAGTGAAAAGTTCATTTAGTTCACTACTGAGATGAAACAATTATAAGTACATTCCATCCCGAGCTCACAAGTTTGGGGAACTTTGGGGAGATTTTGGAGTATTTTAGGGAAACTACCGAAGTCAAATGACCTTGACCAATGTTAAAAGGGAATTTTGGGGAAATAATGGGGAATTTCCCCAGGTCTGGGGAAATTTTGGGGTTTTAGTGCCGTTTCCTCAAAATTTTCCCAAACTTTAATATAGTGGCTTCCACAAAATTGGGAGCTCGGGATATTCATACAAATTCGTCTGCCTACAATTCAGAAAGTATGCAGCTAGCGAATTATTAACTAGGAGATTACACAGAACAGTACAAAACTCTTTCAACACCAGAGAACTACCACTAGTGTTTTCTACGCTCCCACTGGTGACACCGAGGCTAAAAGATGAATTACCTAGAATAACCACTTCATTTTGTATTTATCAGTTCGACTGTTCCTGTGGAGCAAGTTATATTGGTCGAAGTTCTAGGAATTTACATTTTCGTACTAGCGAACACCTCCCAGCGTGGCTAAGCAAAGGTCTCGTGAACATCTTGATATTGACCCATTTAGTGCAAACCGGTCATGGGGCCAGTATAAATCTAACCTTTTCAATTATTTATCGGGTCAGTAATTTTTTTGCCAAGGCTTGTCAAACTTAGGTCTTTCAAACGGCTGAATCAATAGCCATCCTGATGAAGAAACCGGAAGTATGAGTACAAAAGAAATATCTTCAATCACTTCACCTTCCCTGACCAACCTCAAGTTCAATTAATCAATAGTAATGTTAGCTATTGAATGACCTAATTTGACTATTGTACTTACGACCTATCGTAGTCACAAATTTTTGTATTATTATCATTGTTCTTATTATTATTATGAATAAATAAACATCGTTATTAATCTCCGCAATACATGATTCATGATTCAGTTCACATTCATCTCTTCTAATGACGTCTTACTACTATTTCACACTGTATTATCATCCATTAAATATTTGATCGAATTATTTCTCTCACCCTGTCTGACCCATATTTATTTTGACCATTGGATATTAGATTTTCAAGTTAACATTCTATATGAGTCATATCAATATGAACAATTTTATTCTATTTTGTTTGACAATCCTAAATTCACATGTTTTAACTTTAAACGATGCACTGTGCCCTTAACCTGGCCATTTTTCAGATTATTAATGTGGATATATAATTGTAGAACCTAAAGAGAATTTATCGAAAAGAATATTCTTCGTTCAAATACTAGTCTTTTTATATGATGGGGATCTTTAAACGATTCTTATATAATCGTATATAAGAAACATGTGCAAACAAAAGTAATGATGTCGGCTCAGTGGTTTAGTGGTTAAGCGCTCGCGCGCGAGACTGATAGGTCCCGGGATCGTGGATGCGCACTGCTGAGGAGCCCCACAATGGGACGAAACGGCCGTCTAGTTCTTCCAGGTTTTCTACGGTGGTCTAGCTTCAATTGATTCATGATCTCAATCATTGAAAAATAATGAAGTTGGTAGCAATTATTAAAAAAAATCATTAATGAGGTAATCATATTAGTGGTGATAATAACATTACTAATCGTAATAATACTGGTAGAGGGTACGAGATGAACGGAAGTAGTTGGAAATCAAAATTGATAAGAGGTCAAACATTTCATTGAATAATGTGAAAATAATAAAACTAGTTATCATAACTATAAATTATCAATGAAATATAAACTAGATCAAATCGAACAATTGAAATGTTGCGGCAAAATACAAATGAAGTCAACATATGAAACCGGGAAAATAAATCAAGTATGGCGGTGAATCGGTCAAGATATCAATGATAAGTGAACTGTAAGCTTTTTTTTGTAAAAACGAGACAAAAATGAACAATTAAAAGGTTATTGTGTTTAAATAAAGATGAAATCAGATAAAAAATGTGCACACCGCTCAGAAGTCTTATACTAGAACGAAAAAGTTGACCAGTGCTCCATGGTTTTTAATGGCATCCCAGTTTTGATCAGTCTGTGATAAAAAATAACCTGATAATTCTCTTCTTGACACCTAAATTTCACATACAGTGTTTGATACAATTTGAGATTTGTTCATCAGGTACTCATGTATTAAGTACAGATTTATGCACCCGACTTACAGCTATATTCTTTGTGTGACGGTTAGTAATACTACCCAGGTGCCAAAACGGGATTAAATGAGGTAAAGTTCGATCTTGGAACCTATTAGCTGGGGGTCTAGTCTTTTAATTTCTAACGTAGCACTCCATGACACACGATAGCACTAGTGGTGTGATACTCATGATAACAATAACAACAAGTAATTATACTCTGATTAATTTTTCAATCGGTAGTTGATACTGAGTCAAATATAAGTGTATGCTAAATAAAATATAAAAATTTACTTCTGTTTTGTTTTAGATAAAATACTGCTTAAGTGTACAATGAGAAGAGAAAGTCTGTGTAACATCTGGGAGAGGAACAAGTTCCACCAGTAATCTCAATAGATAATAATCATTTAATTTTCGTGGAACTAACAAACGTCAAAAAATTGATATCCAAATGGAAAAAACCTCACAAACTAATACGCCAATTTCCACAAGCAGAGAAACATAAGAGCAGTTCAATGTTTAACATAAATACTAATTGCCATGTTCCCTACAGGATTGGTGCATTTATAATAACTGGAAAAAAAGAATTTTTCAGTTAAATCCAATATTCTCACCTGGTCAACCTTTCCCTGGAAAATGCAAAAAATAATAGTCTACTACTTTATGGTGGTTGTTAACTCGTTTCTTATTAAAGTGAACATGTTTCTTTTATAAATTACGTGTACAATTTGTAGAACACCTGCGGACTTCAGTAATAAACAGGATACCTATCAGTACAGGAGATGAGATCAAGTACCCAAGGGGTTAACAAGTCGGACTGTTGATTCTACTTTAGCTATCAATACTCAAAAAATGAAAATAAAAAAACCCAGATAATCAATAATTCATACTTTTAATTCAATTGTACCAGGTAGTTTGAAAGGACCAAGTTGACGATTTCTCACTGTATCATCGTTAAATATTGAAGTTAGATATGAATTTAATACACTTAAGTCCACTGTATTATCCATACGACCACCGTAAATTGATTCACCAAATAAACCATGAATCCACGACCAAATATCTTCAGTTGTTCTAGATATTTGACCATGATCTGTCAATAATAACCGATCGATTACGTCGGCTGCAGCACGAAGATCAGCAAATGTAAACTCGTAAAATTTCGTCCATCCCTAAATACAGAAAAAAAGTAATCTAGAAAGTTTCCTATATTGTTAAGTGATTTTTTTATCAACATGAAATTTCCTTTTTCTCCATACTTCCAGAATCTGGATTGGGTGAATTAAGTTAGAATCTGACGGTGTAAGATCAATTTCCTACAGACTATGAACAAATATTGCAAACAGGTGTCAAATAGTATAAAACTCAAGTCTACTGATTCTAGATAACAGCTTTAAACCATTCAAATCTAAAACAGACTTCACTGCAATCTGATCGCTATGATTCAACCAAGGACTAGACAATATGACGTTAATTACTACTGCTTAGTGATCAATTGGTAATAATACCAGTATACAATTCATTTTGTAATAAAGTGAAATAAAGCCTATTTCCGTCTTGTTTTGATAGACTTATATATATCCCAACACGTTTTACGTTACATGAAAGAACCTCACACATTATTTATTTAAAGAAATTTATATGATTTTATGCCTTCTATTTTAAAAAAGCCAGAAAATTTGAAATATGTATGCAATTATCGATGTTAAAAAAAGCTAATTTACAGTTGGATAACAAGGGTATGAAATTTGGTCACTACAAAATTGCAGTCATGTTACAATCTCATTCACATCATTATTAAGACGGCTATCAACAACTACAGTAGATGATGATTGGATTGTATCGTGAATTGCGAATTATTGAATCCCAACACCCTTACAGAGAGACTCGAATGTCCTTGGTTTGATCCCTGGTAGTGACATAGATGTTCATTGTTTAAGAGTCCCGAAACTTTGTGAAACAGCTATTTCCTGCTCCCCAGCTTGGAATGAATTTTTTGATTCAAGTCTTTTTGTGATATCAACCATCTTCAAATTATGTTTCAATTAATAGAAAATTTTCATTGGTTTACAACACATGAATAGGCAAACGAAGATTACTATTCCAAAAGTTCTCGTTAGTTCGCAGTAAGAAATAGTCCAAGTTGAGGCAGGATAGCGTATGAAGTTGAGCGTTCATGAGCACAGAAAACCATATTCGAGAACATACATCAATGTTAAGTAGAAGATTAGACAACATTGCAAAGAAGGCTTAATTTAATTGGAATACAATTAGTGTCTCCTACGTATCCGATGGTGATACCTAAAAGGAATACCTAACCTAGCATCTCCTTCAGATGCATATCCTAAGGAATAAATTACACTGGAAATTTACATTTCTGTTCTCGTGAACATATAACAAACTGATTAGGCAGAAGTGTAAGTAAGATAGTTTTTAGTTTAACCTTAACTTATCCAGTACAAAAGCACCACATGGAAAAAAAATTACCATTTCTTTTCAATAATCTACACTGTTCAAAGGAATCTACCAAAAAAGTAGTCAGTTTCCAAACCTTTAAAATAATTTCAACTATACAGTTTAGAAAAACCCCGGAACTCTGCACTCAAGATAATTAGATTCCACAAGTCAGTAATCTTTATTAAATTGTAAATTAATTTGTTGAAAGAACATTCCCTCCTCTGGTGCTCGCAACGTAAATTTATCTGATTATAGACCTAGTTTAACTATCTTGCTCCTAAGTATTTAAAAAATTAGTTAACACCTCCTCAGTTATACTATCTTTAATTGAATTAATAACACTTAATAAGTTACGTAATCGCCAACAAGTAATGTGGTTATTAGTTTTCCAACTATTTCTCCCCTCCACTTTGATTATTATCAAATCAGAATGGGTTTTGTGGAGATTTTTAGAAATTTCACCAGTTGAAATCATGAGTCAACCATGAGACCACAATGGAAAACCTGGAAGCACTGGACGGCCGTTTCGTCCTAGTACTCCTGGAGTTCTTATGGGAAGCCGTTACCAGTGGAGTTCAACCAGGTCTGTTGTGAGATATCAGCTCACTGAAGACAATGGTGTACGGTGGCGCAACTTCGTGGATTGGTTGAAGTTATACATTAACGCCGTTGAACGCCGGCCCAGTGGTCTAGTGGTCAAGTGCTCGTGCGCGAAACCAGTAGGTTCTGGGTTCGAGTTCCGCTGGGTGTGGGATCGTGGATGCGCACTGTTGAGGAGTCCCATATTATCAAACCGTTTTATTTGACTTACAAGCTAATTTAGCTACACATTACACAGAATTCCTTTTAGTGCTTATAAACAACTAAAATTGTTTTAATAACAATCCTACATTGATTATTCTCTCTTAGTGACCTTGGTACCCAATCTAAGGTCGAACGGTGACGAATGTTACCTACAAATTAAACCCATTACCACAACCACACTTTTCTTAAAATATAGGACAATCTTCGAAACCGCTTATTAGTTGCTAAGATCTACACGTAACTAATTTCTATCTACCTAAGCTATACTCGGTTTATATCTAGTTGAATGTACGTAGAAAAACATAAGCTAGCGATTTCATAAGGTGTTTTAAAGTATTAAAATGTGTTCAGAAAACAATACTTACCTGTGGGATATAAGTTCGTCTTTCTTGCACAACAGCATGAAACCAAGCTAGGCATGCAAGTAGAGTTGCTCGAGTCTTTGAATTTCCTTGAGATATATAGTTTCTTGGCCAAGTTTCATAAGTTCTTTGTAGATTCCGTTTTAATCCAGGTGGAGCCTAAGAAGAAATAAAATTAATTGAATATTAGGATGCATTGGAAATTATCCTAATCTTTTTTTTTGTTGTAATTAAGTAGATAAGATCGATTCATTACATCTATATAGTATTATCAATTCCAATAAATTTGTCAACATTTAGAAAAGACACAAAGATAAACACTTAACTGGGTAACATCATGTACTGATATAAGAAAAACAAGATCATAACATGATCTATCAGTACTGAGTTCAGTCCAATAAGGATTTACTGATGTCGACTTTTAAGGAGTGTTGAACAATAGTAAAACATCTCCCCAATACTATTTAATTTTCAATGATTTACCAAATGATCTTATTCTGTGAATAAAATTATCTTCAAGATTACAAACACGCATAGTTAATGATTTCCATTGGACAATAAATCTGTGATCAGGATCAAAATAGAATTTTCAAATTACATGTGTGTATTCTTAATGTATAACTATTTAGTAGCTAGATTATGTATATCTATACTCCTCTTATTAAATGCTTTATTTTGACCCATAGACTATTATTGCCGTTCTTGAGTTATGCCCAGTCTATTAATTACAGTCTTCCACATTTACAGCCACTTTTGTTTAGATCTTGTACAAATGTTATTTTCTACTTTATGGTACGATTTGGTCTGTTTAGTTTGTAGATAAACATAGTATGTTTGAAACACATGATTCATATCGAGGAGGCTGAGATTGGTGTTCTGGACTCAACAGGCAGGGTTAGGCAGGAAGAAGGACCGAAAAAGACTATTGGCTGCTTGTACGAGTTTTATGCGTCATTGGTTCGGTCGATAAATCACTGTTCTCTAATTGGCTTATAATTACGTAATATATTAATAGGGCAATAGGACGCAAGATATAACAGTAAGCCATTTAAACGGAATAATATATAGTTTTTCAGACGGAGACAGATCAATTAATATATATTTTTCTTGTCTCAAAACGATGAAGCAGATTTTTAGCCCAGGTAAATGCTTTTCTTGCCCGGTTACTTAAAGAGAATCAGGTGGTTTTCTTAGGGTAATACACCCGGCGTCTTCGACCTAAAGGCCTAACCAATAAGGCACTGGAGCGACGTCAGCAGATACATTCCCATGGTAGCCGGTGACCAACAATAAGTTCATACACCATTTTTTTCCTTCAAGATACTGAAGCCCATGTGTGCCATTGATTTAGAGTGAGGGTTTTCCAACTCCCCTAGGTGGATCCTCCATATCCACCAGCCCGGTTAAAGCTCCGGATATTCACTTTTCGTCTTTTCAATTTGTTGAACAACAACCTCGCCGCGAGAAGGCAGTGAGTAGGACTTCCGTGACAGTAGTTGTATGCACGTGGTCATGTGAGAGATTTCGGAGAGGAAGAGCTGACTCTCTCCACTCCCACCCGTACCAGGGCATAAGAATAAACATAAGACTAAAAGTAATTAGTCGTTTCATTTAGAACTAAGTGCAATCAATTGTATAAAATTCTTATTCTATACACTTGAATAATTTTCACATATGCTAATTAACGAATAATTTTGATAAACATTTCTGGAGTTCTAGTGAGGATCAGTAACTGACGAAACTGAAAATAGTCTAAGGTTGAAAACATTGGTCAATGGATGTTAACTCAATAATTTCAAAATAACAAATTCATCTCGCAAAATAAAAGCTTTATGTTAGATCCTTGACAGAGTAGTAGGTGAGTACTAGTTGTGAAGTCATGTACTAGGACATAGAAATTATCTAATACTCCATCATTTTAATAATCATCTGGTTAAAATCAGAGCGAGATCATGAACCGATTGATGTTAGGCCACCATTGAAAACTTGGAAGCATTGGATGGCCTATTGTTGTCCTATCGTGAGACTACTCAGTTGTGTGCATCCGCGGTCCCTCTCACGGGGTTCGAATTCAGGGCCTTCGGTCTCGCGTGTGAACGCTTAACCTCTAGACTATCGAGCCGATATCCAACGGTGTTAATGTTTAACCTCAACCAATTCACAACATTGCGCGACCACAGCCCAAAACTGATAAAACCAAATCATTACGTAAACTGTATCATCATCAGAAAAAGAATTATTTACAATGAGGAAATGTGAAACACTTTTTAAACTCACTTCATAAGCTATTTTAAGGCAACCTTGTAATAATGTAGATGGAAATGTGGTACGTGGTTCTGCAGTTAACCATAATCTGAAATCTTCATGTACACAATGTTCAGTATCAATAGATTTATTAATTGTACCATTATCATAATTATCATTATTACCATTATTGCTAGGACTAATTGAACTTTTCTTATTGATATTCAACAATGTGTTAATTTCTTTCTCCAATACTGGTAGCCAATGTATAACAAGGTGTAAATTTTTCAAACATAACCAATCACCATGTTTTGCAGCTAAATGTAGTTCTTTTATGGCTAAGTCGGTCTGACCTTGACCCATAGCAATTTGACGATAATGTGATGAGGTTGTCTCTGATGTTTTATTAAATATTTTACGTGAGAAATGAAGTGTAGCTGCTTCAGATAATTCTTGTGATGGATCAGCTCCTGGACTAATTAATATTAGAATAGGTTCTGTTGATCTTGTTTCAGTTTCAAATAATCTGTGTAAATTCAAAGTTGATGGACTTAGTTGAGGTAAGTCTAAAAAGAGAAATTATATCGATCAAGAAGTTACCTTTTTAATTGATCAGATTACATACAGTTATTTAGATTGAGGAATGTACAAGGACATTTAACTGAGGTTTTGAAAGCACACAATGGGTGAGTACATGTTGCTTTGTTCTGTTAAAGATGATGCTCGCAAGTGCTAGATATCGCATTCCCATTTAATAGTGAAAACGTTAAACTCACTCATCAATTAATTAATGCTATATCTTTTACAACTCAGAAGTTAGATAACAATGAACTATGAATCCGTAAGTCAAAGCTTGAATTATATAAGTTCTAGTTATGTAATCCACCTGAGAATTATAAATTACGGTACATTTTAATCATGTATTTCATTTATTAATAATCAAATGAAATTATTCATTTGAATTTTTTATGTTTTAATTGGAGATTTGGGAACATGGGAGTTTGCGAAGCCTATTTATTATACGGTGAATACATATATATAAAGTTTTCGAATTAAGTGTTAGAGGAGTAAGTAGAAAATGCAATATGATGATTATCCGATTAAGTGGAACTCAATTGTTAGAATTTTCCATCAGTTTCGTTTATTACTGTCTTAAAACGCACTGTCGTCTATATAGGGTCGTTATAGTAACTGATAAGTGGAGAGATGATGTCATGGATATGGTACTCAACTTTCAAGCATTTGGTTTTTAAGTCCATACTCTATTTCACGTACTTTGATATGAATACTCCGATGAGATACTGATAGATAACGCGTGATATATTGCCAGTCAGACCTGTGACCTATTTCACGAATTTACACACTGACTAATTAACAGCAAGAAATGCCTTCACGCCTGTCAACCCTCGAGGCCATTTTAACTTAGTAGTCAATCAGAAGATGATGACTCAAAACTCATACAATAATATACTGTTAATACCTAGCCACACAGCAAAGTGAATAGAAAGTCACACTTTAAGCATGATCATACTATAAGCGGTAAAGAGCCGAGCAAGCAACACATAAATACTTGATAATAACTAGAGTGTAGTAAAACGAATAATAACAGTTCATGTACTCAATGAAAGTTTACAATAAAGGTAATATATAAATACAGCTCCACAGTCACTTACGTATTACACAATAAAGATGTAAGTAATAATAATCTGGAAAATAGCTCCGAGAGATTCAACTTCTCAATATCCATTCTGTTACACCACGCATCTTGTTCGATTGCCAAACAGTTGAAATATATCACAAGATGAATCTTAACCTAGCCTTTGTGATTTTGTATAAATGTTGTTCAGTGCGAACAGATAGGTTTGTTGTGGCCTTGATCATACGAAAGTTATAATAAATACTTCCCCTGTGTGTTCAAAAACAATTTGTACTAACACTAAACCTAAACTGCTAATATTGATCAGAGTGATGTGGTTGCCCTGTTATCCTTAGTTTTCTTATCTTTCAATTAGTCTAGTTAACCTTCTATTTTCCATATGTAAATATTTTAACAAGCAAATGATTGATCAGATGGTTATTCGAAATATATTGCACTAGTTTATCATATATAGTTATAATAAACTTCGCCTTATCATTGGATTATCAAAATTAACTTACACTTGGTAAATGGGTTACAGTAATTAATTGACTGATAACATCGAGAATAAAAGTAGGAATGGTATGTCGTTTATATAACATACAATCAAACCTCTTTTATAGTTGGCTAAACTTTAGGAGATTCATTTATGTTTTGCATCAATCTACATAAACGTTTATTCCCGAGCGAGTAATATATCTGGCAAACACATCAATCACTTTTGTTTAGTTATCAAATACTGGTGACATAAACAGTGGATTACAGCTTTTCACTTTGTTCAATAGTATAAATTATATTTGAAGATAGATAAATATTATAAGCTGATACTTTCCATGAAACGATTCTATCAATTTTGATCAAGCTTTAGAGCGGTGACCGAATTTAAAATGATGACCAAAACATGGTTTGAGCAATTCAACAACTCTTAGTAACATTGGTATGCGGTTGACACTGAAATCTTGAACATGCGTTTCGTCCTAATTTTTACTCATCAACCGGATATACCTGCATCCCAGTGTTGATGTTCACATCAAAAACTCGAACCCAGTACTTTGCATCAAACCCCTAGTTTATTATTTATTAATCAATTGGATCAAGATAGCCACTAGTTTTTTCCAATGAGTATGAAGGGATTAGTTAGAGTGTGTACTTTTTGATTGTTAGTGTTTAGGTCCGTAACTGGTCTGTTTTTGTTGCCATAAATGGTCCTGAGAGGATTGCCTTGACATAAAACTCTGTTATACTATTCAAAAACACTAAAGTGTTTTGCTTTTCGACTGAATAATGGTTATTGAACTGCCAGTTCAACTAACAACTAAAAGGATTACGTCAAATATGTTTTTAAAACTGTATATTTACCTAATGTTCGACTAGCAAACTGTGACATAGCAGAATATAAACGATCAGGTCGAAGAGCTTGAACTGCAAGAACTGTGAAATGAAAAGGTGTCAATGATTTCGATTGTAGATTCTTAGGCATTGGTTTCATTTCAACATCATTCTCATGTAACCAATTCGTCCAAAATTGAGAATCTTCAAAACATAGATTTTCATAAATATTCGGAAGTGCACTCTATCAAAAAGAATTAGTTTAAACGATAAGAAAATTGGACAAAAAGTAAAAAGAAAAAAATTCCATTGTTGTGAAATTGATATACCAAGTGACTTAGGAGAATCGTATGATCAAAATTATTTGTGAAGTACTAATTTAAAACAACTACTCCCTTTGATAAATTTCGAGAATGCAATGTTTCGCAATGGAGGATGATGTCTGTCTATTATGTGATCTAATTTGACCATTGTAATTTATTTGCTTCTGCAGCAATTTTGGTATGTGTTCACTCACCGTTAATTGTAAATCATGATTGCTCCTCCCTATGTACGTGTTTCCGCACATACATGTAAACTGATAGACACAATAGGATATGACACAATCGCTTAAGTGCTGTTTGAGCTTTTGGTGAATCATAGACCTTGTCTTTACAATAATGACAAGTTGGGCTGCATAAAATGTCCGCTTCAACATGAAACTATTTGTGTCGCCTCTAAGATTGTTCGAAATGGACTGCGCAAACATATCACATAATTCCGATAAACTTCGTCCCCAAATGCATTATCGAACTACTAATTGTTTACTCGAAGAAAAGCTGCTTCATGCAGTATGAAGTTATGTTCACAGTGTAGTAAACTGATTTGGGAGATGTTTCTGAAGATCGTGAATCGTATGACACAAGTAACAACAACCAATCTGGCAGAGAAGCCACTGAGAATGTCAGAAGTATTTACGATCTTATTATTTAGTTTAGTATTATCATTTCACTGTTCATTTAGTGAATACGATACTTGATAATTGAACGTAATTTTCTGTTGGGATATTCAGGGAAATATCCCAAAAATTATTCTATTAAGTCTAATGCTATTCTTGGAATTGAAGGTGGTATTATTTTCTTATTGTTCAGTACTTATTTCACGTGTCATTTTCCTACTGGTCAATATTGTCCAATGTTATTCTCTATTTCATGGTACGATGTGGTCTGCTTGATTAGTATATAAACAGAGTGTGTTTGAAATGTAATGATTCATATATCTGAGGCTGAGACTTGTGTTCTGGACTCAACTGGCTGGGCTAGACAGGGAAGCGGGACCAAGCAGAACCCTAGGCCGTTCTTACGTGTTTTCGCGTCTTTGGTCCAGTCGATAATTCGCTTTACCCTCTAATCTGCCATCACATAGTTATAGCATTTTCATTAAAGATTTTATTTCAACATGTAACTTTTCTTATAATTATATTTTCAATCCAATACTTGAAGATATGCTATTTATTTATTTTAACACATAGATATTGGTACAAAGGGGCACCGAATATATATGCGCCACACAAATCTCATTCGATGTGTGAGGGCTGTGATACTGCCCGGGTGCCAAATCGAAGTAGGAGGCCACACCCGGAGCCTTCGACGTAAAAGTCTGATCCCCAATGCAGTGGTGCATCGTAAAGAAATGCAGTCCCATGGTAGTCAGAGACCAAAAATCAGTTCATACGCCATTTGTTTATTCAGGATCCTGGAGCCCATGTGCACATTCGGTTTGGAATCCGGGTTTTCCAACTCTCCTAGTTGGACTCCCCATGTCCACCAACCCGGTTAAAGCGCCGGACATTTACTTTTCGTCCTCTCAATTTCGTTAACGACCCCCCTCCGCCACGAGAAGGGAATGAGTAGGACTTCCGTGGCAGAGGCTATATACACGTGGCCATGTGAGAGCATTGCGAGAGGGAGAGAGGACTGTTGTTGTAGACAGTTGGAAGAAAGTAAGGGTTGAGGGCCGAACCAAGACGTAGCATCAGTCCTTGAAGTCACTAACTTCTTGTCTTAACCGTGTTGGTAGATGCAGACTACTTGGTTGAGGTCCGCGCGACTATCGGAACCAATGGTTGAAGACTCTTGGTGACATGGCTCAGAATCGATCGCAATGGCGTATGTGTACACACTCTTTGTCTTGCCTTGAACCGTAAGATTAAAATTACTTTATATCTTTCTACCAACTAATTCTTTCTTCCTGTACTATATATATCCTTACATAAAATCTTTCTTTGATAAATTACTGTCATTACAGTAACTACTATGAATTCGGTGTTCATCTTGTTGTACTAATGAGATATGGCAACTTGGAATGATGCATATATGTACCTGGTTCTACGTTGTAGCTGACTGACTAAATTCGATGATCACACCTTATCTGTAATATCTGAAGTTCTTGAGTTCTATCCTCACTGTAGTTGTGAATGAGTAATTCTAAGGGATTCTATACTCGAATAAAATAATTTTCCAATATACTCTTACATTCAATAGTTTTCTATCTGATCTCAACCCATAATAATAATAAAAACTACACACTGAATAATCTGTCTTGATACAGAAAAGGAACATTTATTGGTGCATTTGTGAACGACTTGAATAGACGTTTTAAACATAACTAATGGAAGATGATCGCGCAATTTCGTGGATTGGTTGATGTTAGACACTATTACCATTGGATACCTGCTCGGTGGTCCAGTAGGTTAAGCGTTCGCGCGCAAGACTGAAGGTCCTTGGTTGGAATCCATCGAGCGGGATCATGGATACGCACTGCTGAGTAGTCCGACATTAGGACGAAACGGCCGCCGAGTGCTTCCAGGTTTCCAATGGTGGTCTGACATCAATCGGTTTATGATCTCAATGAAAATTATGTATTATATAACCAATGAATTCGTATACAGCCAAAATCTGTATACAAATAAAATGAAATAATTTATATCCTAAGAAGAATGCTTTAAAAAATTTCTTGAGAAATTACTTTAAGCTTCATCAAGTTACGAGCTCGTTCAGCATCTAACCAACTGTAAAGATTCTCACCAGTATGACATGATTCCATTACATTAAATCCAATAAAAAATAGCCATTCCTTGTATTTAAAAAAAAAGTAATAATCAAAATCATCATAAATATTTAAGAGGAGAAATTGTTGGAAACAGTGAAATATAACAGATTATATCTTTACTTGTTAAATACTACTAATATGGATCATTATTAGTAGACATGAAAAAATATTAAAAGAAATCGACTGACTACAAATTGAACGTTGGTTGATTCAATACAATTACAGTAATAAGTCAATTAAATATCAATGATTCATGTAAATACAATCATCACACATCACAAAGAAACATTTTACTATGTATGCTCAAAAATGACTGTTAATGATATAATTTACTGAACATCAGTAATATATATACACTGAAAATGAGCTAATTAAGGATAAAATGAAAATACAAATCACACATAGAGTAAAGCCTGATGACGATCTAATTGAAAACAATTGTTCGCTTATATGTGTTGTTCTAATAGAATTAATTGTCAGTGTTCTTTTTATCAGCAGTTTAAACATATGATTAGTAAAGCAGGAGATTTCCAATTCAATATCTTGATTCATGCCGTACCTGATAACCTATTTTGTTATTGAGCCAATCAACATTAGCCATCTTCATAGTAATTTCATATTTTTTTTAAAAACCAACATAGAGTTGCATGTTAAAACAAGTAATGAATGGTCACAGACATGGTTTGTTTTCTTTTGTTCAGTGGATTAGTAAGGTATTAGGTTTCATAGGTTAGCAATTATATTTGTTGAGGACCAAAGTATTGTCAGTATAAATCCGTTTCGATTATCGTATTATAATTAATATAAAGGCAGAATAGTAATGCTTCCTGTTTGTGACAAGATACTACTATAATACAACAAAAAAAAATACCGGTGACCGAGATTGTACGTGATAGACAGATACAGTCGGTCTAGGATTTAAACTACCGTCCGAACAATCTTTAAAGACTTCGAATGATATAAAGATAGATTTCTCAAACTAGATTTGATCTGAAAAGTAAAATTTATTGAAGTTAAAACCTATAAGATCCCCAAGCATTTTCATGTTCGAAAATAAAATGAATTCTGGAAGACCGGAATAATATTGGCCAAAGAAGCCACCTCGTAATTGTTCCTATTATTTGAATTAGATCCTTTGATATTTACCACTTATTATTACAAAGTGCCTTGTTCCACACTGTATTTTCGGTACATTAGTGGGATTATGAGCGCAATAGCATCCGAGACTACCAGGATTCGAAGCTAGAATCTCCTGATCCGTAGTCAGGCGCGTTATCGATTGCGCCACTGTTCCACAATGAATGTACATATGCTAAATTGCATTTTTCTCTTCTATCACTTCATGTAATTATCATTCCACTTCGTATTGGTCATTCTTTAGGGGTCCAAATTATATGAAACCAAACTATCCCGTTAGATAATTGTCAAGATAATAATATGCATCGATGTATTTCCATTAGTCATCTGCGTTGAAATCAACAATAAAGTTTTGTTTTAACTTAATCCCCCCTTTTCAATAGAATGCAAATGCAGAAGTGGTAACAGATAATTGTAAACAATCACATATAAATTCATACACACGGACTCATCATTAATCTTAAATAAAAAAATTACGCGAAAAAATAGTTATCATACTTCATCTGTTAATGATTGTGGACGCATTGTACGAACCATGTGTAATGCAAACATTAAACGATCTGGTTTAAATAATGCTCGACAGACATTTTCATAAACTAATTGTTCTATATGTTTTTGCAATGATTGAATACGTTCTGATGTCTTCAGTCCAGTATTCTTTTTTAAGACATAAGAAAACAAAATTTACATATAATAACATACATGTTGAGATTTACAAATCGGGTGAATGCATTCAATGAGTTTAGTTTAGTTAGGTTCTGTGAGCTGAATTATTTAATTAAGGAGCTTTTATTGTCTTGCTGAACAACCTTATCAGAACATACATTATGCATAAGTGAATTTCTTAGTTATTCTACGTATGGTGTGAGCTACTTATATCCACATAAGTAGTATATAACGGTAGTCAGGAATATAATGTATTTCAGTAGAAGATCGAGAAGGAAAGAAAAGTATGAAAATGCAGGAACAATTAAATCTGAGACGATGGATTGATATTTGCAAAAGAAACAATCAAGTTTGAGACAATTAATTGATATTTTGCAAATTAAGTGTTTACTTTATGGTTCTCAGATTTTAGTGAGATATTCTGTATTCTGGTTCACTTATCATAAGTCAGTTTGTTTCTGTGATAAGATAGCGAAACCTACGGAGTTAACGAGTCACAAACTAGGACACCAGTAATCTCTTTAATTAAAGCACCTAGATCATAAAGATTTGACTATATGTATACTAAAGCCATACATCATATACATCATTTGTATATCTTAGAATTGTCGCTTAAAAGCTTCATTGTTCCTTCATTAATGTTGTTATCTTGATTGCTTACAGTTTCCTTCTCTTTTTTCTACATTTAAATCTCAACCTTCTCCTCGTAGACATTCCACTTAAGACTGGTGTTACGTGCTATTTATATCTGCAAGCATAAGCAGCACACACCACACATATATACATATATGATTGAATTATAAATTGCAGAATATTCTAAACCCAAAAAATACGATGTCATAGGAAATTACTACTATTCAAATAATTTAGAAACTCCATATAGTTAAAGAGATTTAAAATGTGCCTGTTTTTAAAGAAGACTTAAGTTGTACAAATCCTTTTTTTAATACCTAGTCACTTAATGTAACTCATAGAATCCAATACAGGTTTATGCACTCGATTTTGAGCTGCACATTTTCCAAGAAGACTTATGATACTATCCGATTAAGAGTGGGATTCAGACATGAGGTTAACTGGTTAAAAGCCGTATTTAAACCACCAGACCAGTGGTTTTCTAGTACTAACCTCATTATATTCTAATATCTATATATATATTTACATGCAATGAAAACTATAGCATTTACTATTTGCAAAATCCAAATATCCATGGTAGATAGTAATGATAACAATACTGGCTTTATTCAGTATTGTACAATCGGTTGCAGTAAATGCTTCTCAGGGGAAAATGATGCATAGCTGTAACAAAATCTCTGATTTATATTCAACAGTTGAGATCATGAGTCAATTGAAGCTAGACCACCATGGAAAACCTGGAAGCACTGGACGGCCGTTTCGCTCTGTTGTGGGACTCCTCTGCAGTGCGCATCCAGGACACCACCTCGCCGGATTCGAACCCAAAACCTATCAGTCTCCTGCCAGGCGCTTTATTTATGTTTATTTAAACTGTGAATGTTCAAATACATTCTTAGGTGTCTTTAAAACAATAATTTGCTGCCTTTCATTTTCATCTGCAAAAGATGTTGATCACTTCTTGATATTGTTAACTGAATGCACAAAATTCAAAATAATCTCTCTTCCTTTGTTCGAATAAGCAAAATACGATAAACCACTGTATCATTTTCCATTGAGTATTTAAATATTAGAGATATCAATGTATAAACTTCCCATCCATCATCATATATAGATATCCAACAATATTCTCTGTCCATTTTAGTCTGAATTATATAAATAGTACTAAATTGACTGAGTAGCCGGTTCAAACGAATTCAATAACATATTATTGTCTTTTGTTTTAATTACGAAACTAGTTTAAATTGCTAATGTATTTGAAGCGTATTAAAACAGGAGAGTCTAAATTCTTTGTTTAAGTCAATTATAAATTTTATCATATATCGGATATTCATTACCCAAAATTGTATTCCGTTAGTTTCCGACCTAGTGGATTTACTCTCGCCTTATCACGCTAACTATTAAGTAATGATTCAAACTTATAGCTGATATTCATTTTTAGATAATGCTAAATGAAACAGGAACCAAGCTGACTCATTTGAGTGACACGAAACACAAATTTGGCTAACAGTGTGTGATACGCATTATTTCGGTAACAGATTTATACTAAACTAGTGTTTATGCTACGTCAAATAAACAGCCTTTAATCTACTAATTGATCTCCTTATCTAATAGAAGTGTACGTTTTAGCGTATACTAAGTATGATGAAAATAATCTGCACCATCTGGATCCGTCACTGATCAATGGAGTATCTATAAAACAAAATGTTTTCTGTAAAACAACTAATTTATACTTCATAGGTAGGTAAGTGATGTGTGGGTGAGAATGATAATGATTGGTTGTTTGCTTAGTTAAACTGGTAGATAGTCTGACGGGTACTAGATGAGTCATACATTCTCTTACCCTTATTATTATTGGATTGTTGTCGGTTTTAGGTGTGGAGATATACTTACGTTCTAGTCAGGCTATTCACGTGTTCTTGATCTGAGTTGCATCGAAGTCTTGTAGAATGGACACTGGAAGGGTATCTAGTGTAGATATTCGTCTAAGGCAAATTAACGTCCCATTCGTGTAGACGAGGAAAACCGAGATTTATAACAGTAAGTAAAAGAACCTAAAGCTTGTAATGGCAAGTTAAAATTATATTTCCGTTAGTGTCAACACTTATTTTTAATAGTGGAAATCATGAGTCAAATGAAGTCAGGCCACCATGGAAAACCTGGAAGCATTGGACGGCCGTTTTGTCTTAGTATGGGACTCCTCAGCAGTGCGCATCCACGATCCCGCCCCTCCGTGAGATTCAAACCCACGACCTATCAGTCTCGCGAGCGAGCGCTTAACCACTAGACCACTGAGTTGGCCGATATCCAACGGTGTTAATGTTTAACTTCAACCAATCCACGAAATTGAGTCATCTTTTTGATTTACAAATCTTTGTACATTCATTTAACAAAATTATACAATCACACTGACTTCTGGAAATTAAAGTGTTGTAAAATCAACCTTTTGCTTTACAGACAATGGCCATCGTTCTTTAGCAATGAACAAGACAAAGTTATTGATGACTGTACCAAGTTTGAAGCCCATAGATAATTGTTGTATGGACGAGAGGAAGTTGTGATTGGTTATTTCCTAGACAGATTGGTGGATAGTCTGAAAATCATTTGATGTGTCATTTATGAACACACCCCTTGTACCTACTGGATTGTTGGCTGTTGATTTTCGGCTACTAAGTGTATTCGTGCGAGTTGTGTTGAAGCCTGGTATAATAGTGCTAAATGGGTATCTAGTATAGATCGAGCGAATCGTATACACAGATAAATCATTCATTGTTCGCCCTAAGCAATTTAGTATCCCAGAAATACAAGCGTTATTTCGGTGATGGAATTTTATGATTGTACCGCAAAAATTTACAGTAGTTAGTGATGCTAATTAACCACTTGGAATATTTAGCATATATTTCATCCAAATATCAGTTGAGCATACTGACAAATTTATCCTATGTAGATGTTCAATACCATTTCAAATTTCAAGATAAACAAGTCTTTTTGATTCTACCCCGTAAGTATTACTTTTTTTGCATTCTAACCTGAACCTAATCTAAAGTTCACACTTATAATTCTACGCAGAATCAAAACACAACACATTCCGATCCAGTTAGAATTCGATAGTTCATGTTTTCTACTACAGTCAATTTGCTATGTTAGAATCAAACAACTGCCGAATGCCAATGATTGTTCAATTATGGTAACTTAGTGACTTAAACTATTTTCTGAGTAAATATATATGGTCGTTGTCAAACCATAACAGAAGACGATTCAATACATTTTAATTAATTTTCTGAGTTGATACTATGCTTTTAGTGCATTAGGAAGTTCAGTATCAAATTCTTGTCCATCTATCGAACAAAATAATTTCAGCTCTTCTCTTAATCTAGAAAGACAGTCAGTTAAATGACTTGTGTTTTTTTCGAACCATTTGAAGACAGTTTTAATCATGGACAGAATTTAGCCAAAAGATCTCACTGAATATTAAATGGAATGTTAGATGGTTATTAAGTCCTTTTCTAGATAATGTTCACTCACTATCTAACAAGGAGTTGAACCTACAAAATTTAGGCTTCCCATCAAGAATCTTACATTTAAACTACTTAGATGACATTAGAAGGTCTATATTTCTAACTTCAGACATTTCCTGATACTATACGTTAATCATTGGTTATACCCGTTTTATTCCCAACATGAATGAAATCCGCCGGTTACACTTTCTCATTAAAACCTTTTAAATCATTTTCAAATGTAATCATTAGAGTGAACGTCAAAATTCAACATATTAATAATAAGAAAATATTAGATAATTTGAAATTACTTACATGTGGCATAGAGAGAGCACGTTGATAAAGATATAGAAAGCTGTTTAAACTGAATTGATACATATGATTAATTTTCATGAGATCTTTCAGAGCGAAATAAAGTCGACTGCTAGTTTCAGCTAATGGATAAAATACATTTCTCTCCTTTATGAAATGTATCAAAGATTAAAAAAAGTAATGGAATATCTGATATTAAAATATAGTATTGTTAGAGATTTGCATATTTTAATTTATATATAATCTACAAGGAACTTAATTTATCACAGAATTTTCTGGGATGTATTTTGTCAGTTTGTTGTGAATTCACTGAACTTTGATTGACTGGTTTAATGACTAGTTATTCGGCGTCATTAAATGAGCCACTTGATGAAATTATGAAAAAGTGGCCACCTTAGGAATAATTACAAACTTGATCTCATTCATTCTCAAACAAAAAACCGAATAGAGTACTAGTGTGATTATATGGAGAATTATTCAACTTAACGCTGGTTAATGAACTAACATTGATAGGAGTGATACTGAAAATCAAGGGGTCCAGAATCCCTTTTAAGGTCCTGGTTTAGAAACTCCCAGTCTTTCATAGTCTTATCATATACTAGTGAATATCAACCTTGGGATCTAGAAACAAGCATGATATTGTTTTCGGGATGGGATCTATGGGTCACATTTCACACCTTCAGCGTGTTTTAAAGGAGAAAATTGGATAGTTGAGTAACTGAGATTGTCGAAGTGATTATTGGTTTTGTGGGACATGATTTCCAAACCACAATCAAAACAAATTTCAAAAGACAGAACAACCATTCAACGGAATGAATATATTGGAAAAATGAAATTATCATTCATTTGTAAAGTATTCAGTGAAATTAATGCAATTTATCTAATAATCGATAATTACTCGAGAATAAAAAAATAAGGGATACAAACAACTAGCTGACATACATTCAAGTCAATAAATCGTATGATACCTATCACGAAAGACGAAGGTCCTGAGTCATGGTTACTACTGAGATCGTATGTAATCAATGTCAAACAAAATAGATGTCCAGAGCTTTCTGGTTTCCAGTGGATCAACAGTCAATGTCAATATACAATGAGAATATCTTTCAATACAACTATTAGTGTTACAATCAAGATGGTGAACTGTTGTAAATCAGGAATAACGAACATTCTGGAATAAAATGAAGTCATTTCATAGCATGTGCTCTGCTAGTTCATCCATATTCATACATATTTATAACAATAAGTGAAGTTTTAGAACTGTAATTTTATGTGAAACATGTGTAACACGTACTTTGGAAGAGCAGAGAAGATATTATTTAACAGAATTTCAGAACATATTCTAAAGAATTTGATCTTGAATAACCCTAAACTGTTTAGCAGTGGCATTAGAAAACATATATTGAATATGGATGATTCAGTAGATCTTTATGCTATATTTCGAGTAATAAGTAGATAGAATAAGACACAGAAGTAGGGGCAGTTGGTCATCTAAAACTAAAATTATCAGTACAAAAAGAAATTGCAGTTCACTTGTCATTAATATCATGACCGATTCACCGCCATACCTACCCTTCCTTATTTTCCTGGTTTCATTTGTTTGACTTCATCTGTATTTTACCACAACGTTTCAATTGTTCAATTTGGTCTGATTTGTTATTTCATTTCCAATTTACTGTTTTATTATTTACAGATTATTCAATGAAATATTTGACCTTTTATCAATTTAGACATCCAACTACTTCCGTTCATCTCGTACCCTCTACCAGTGTTACTATGATTAGTAATGTTGTTATCACCGCTAATATGATTTATTCATCAATGGTTTTTTTTTTTGGTAATTACTATCACTTTCAGTATGTAGTTGTGAAGATCGCCGAATTTAATTGAAAACATGTAAGCACTAGACGGCCGTTTAGTCGTAGTATGAGACTCCTCAGCAGTGCCCATCCAAGACCACTCATGCTGGAATTGAGCCTAGACCTTCGGTTTCACATGCGAACGTTTAACATTTAGACCACTGAGCAGGGATTCAATAACTGTAATGTCTTACTTAAATCAATCCACGACATTGCACCACTATTTTTCATTGTCTTTGGTAGGTAACCGTCTCACATCACATTAATCATTTTTGTTTGCCCTAATTGTAAAAAGTTTTACATGCTTCCTACACATTCGATTACATCATGATCTCTATATTTTAATTCATTCATCTATGTTATTAAACTTGTACGTATGCAGGATACATTTATACTGGTGTGCTAAATGAATTTTTCACATTGTACATAATATTGCGATTGTACAAACCAGTTCGTATTTGGAGGATTTAGGGCACAAGAAAAGATGAAATGACCTCATTTCGTTCCTTAATGTTCGATATTCTTGCATAATATATCGAAATGCATTAGTTATATGAGAATGTTAATCTTACCTTATTCAATTCAGCTTGTAAACGTAGGGATTCTTTCAATGAATTCGTTACAACTAAACTTGATTGCTTCGTTTTATTTAATGATGACAAAAGTTCTTTATTCTCTAATATATTACCATGAGCATTTGACAATTCCTTTCACGTATTTGTTTGAAAATGTTCCATTTGACAAAAAACCAAGAAGAATGAATATAATAATCAATATGCAATACTATAAAAGCTTGAACTATTTTTCATTATGAACACCAAGTTCGTGATGGATAATTTTACATTTCACATATATAATACTCAAGAGTAGCGAGAGAAATTATCAGGTATTCTGATCAGTTGTTAGTACTGAGATAGTTTAAATACTTAGAATAGATGGGTCCTGATTCAGGACGGATATTTCGTTCTCGAATCTCGAATCATCGTGAACATTATATCCAATGAAAAAGCTAGAGACTCAGTAGCTGAGCGTATGGTGTGTCAACGATTGATGCGAAAGATACTGGGTCTGAGTCCCAATGAAAACATCAATGTGGATGTATATAAATTCAGATAGCGAGTTTCAAACAGAAAGAAATGTTTGTCCTGTATTCCATGTCTAGCTACAATCCATCTATTCTCAAGAAATCGTGACATGGCTATATCGAGGAAACCTGTACCGAGTGCACACACAGACAAAAGGTAATCTAAATTCAGTCCTTACTACCGATTCAAATCCTTATTAACAATGATATTTCCAATGGTATAGTTATGTAATGAACTTTTACATGCAGCTTTAGTTTAATTTTAACAAGAAAATAGTTTGTATTATCGGCATAAGTATAAATTAATAAGGATTTTTGGTAGCTAGCAGTAGAATTCAGCATTCACGTTCCGTCTTATTTGAGACTCACAAATTCCATGTATCTGCGTTACAGCGTTAATATTCAAACTGAAACTCGAACCCATAACCTTTCTCTTCAAACATTAACTCATTATCTACTAAGCTACTTAGTCCAAATCACTATATAACATGAAATACACATGCTGGATTACATTATATGTAGTCTCTATCTAACTTATTTATAGCTTATAAATCCCTGTAAAAACTACAGTTACTTGGTAAAATAGAAAAAACCATACTATAATACCTAATTTGCAAAATGTTTAATAATTGTCTGGGACTTCCTTGTTCTTGCATTTCTATACTAATTGATTTCTATTCCCGTTCTTCCTTTCTTGATCTTCCCAATCTTCTGCTACCAGACATTACATTCCTGACTCGCATTATATACTACTTATGTCAATATAAGTAGCACGCACCACAATATTATCAAAAAATAGGACTGAAAGAATGTTAACTCCGAGAACTAATTTATAGATTATTATTAAACATATTCTCGTTATATAATAATTAACTAACTAGATTACTATGTTTACTAAAAGCTTTCAGTTAACCCATGAATTATGAGCATACTATATAATATTCCTTATATTCAGTAAGGGGTTGTGGAGATTGTTGAATTTCACTGAAAATCTCGAAGCAATGGATGGCTGTTTCGTGGATGAGCACTTTCGAAGAGTTTCATACTAAGACAAAATCCTCGTCCAGTGTTTCCAGGTTTTCAGTAGTGGTTCAACTTAGATAGGTTCATGATTTCAATGATATTTCTAATTATTACCAATCTACTACTGGCAATTTTTTCTATTAACTTGGCTTGTTTATGCATAATTTTTATTTCTTAAATTTATGATGTGATGTGTTCTGATGTGTCTGTATATAAACCACGTCTGTTTGGAATGGAAAATAGTCGAGACTGGTTGTTGATATCAGAGATGAGCTTGCAAATAATGAGCCAACAAGAACGTAGCTGTTGGCTCAAGGTCAATAGTGCTGGTCGGGTGTGTAAGTGGCAGAGATCCCTAGCTATAGAGTACATAGCAGATACGAAATAAACCAAATCAGAATTTAGATTGGTGACTTGGCATATTATGTGACTGTAGTTATCCATGAAATTCAAAACTGAGGTTTCAATCTATTTGTGACATAACGTCACTTGAATGTACCTTCAGCATCAAAGCATACACTCAAGTAGCTCATTTTCCCATCAAGAAGTGATTATTTACAATCGTCAGTATAAACAATAAAAAAACCCCACCAAAACCCTTACAAATAATTATGATCAGAATGGGTTTTGTGGAGATTTTTAGAAATTTCACAGGTTGAAATCATGAGTCAGTTGAAGCTAGACAATCATGGAAAACCTGGAAGCACTGGACAGCCGTTTCATCCTAGTATGGGACCTCTCAGCAGTGCGCATCCACGATTCCACACCCCGCGGGATCAGAACCCAGAAACTACTGGTTTCGCGCGCGAGCACTTAACCACTAGACCACTGAGCTAGCCGGTATCCAACGGTGTCAATGTATAACTTCAACTAATCCACGAATTTGCGCCACCGTACACCATCGTCTTCAGTGAGGTGATATCTCACAACAGACCTGGTTGAACTCCAATGGTAATGGCTTATCGTTAGAACTCCAGGAGTATCTCACGAAAACAATTCATCAGTGAAAAGTTTATACTGATAGAAGGAAAATAAAATAAATTTCTTACCTCTAGTAAATCATTTTCTAATTTAGCTAATTCCACTTTCATTTTCTCTTCATGATGAATTAATTGTTGACGTTGATTTTCTAATTGTGGACATTCATTTTGTAAAGTAATCTCTAATAATTGTTCTATTAAACCAGTTCGTGTTGAAATAAAATTAATAATAGTAACTAATGCATTAGCACTAATTGGTTGAATATAATCTATGCCTTGTAATGGTTTACGTGTACATAGAAATAAACGAAAATCTTGATGATAATCTATTAATTTTTCACCAATTCTTATAAAATTTCGTGATCCTTATGTAGAGATAAGAAAAAAACAAAAAAAAACAAACAAAATAAAGTAGGTGTTATAACGCTCGGTTTTACTTCGTCTAATGTTATAACGGTTGGGTTTCCATTTTTACATGTATGGGACGTTAATTTACCTTAGACGAGTATCTACACTAGATTCCCTTCTAGTGTCTATTGTACAGGACTTCAACACAACTCAGATCAAGAACATGTGATTAGCCTGACCATCACGTAAATATGTTTCCACACCAAAAACCCGACACAATCCAACAAAAATGAACAATCAATAATAAGTGAGTCACAATAATAATAAGAATAGAGGAATATATAACTCATCTGACACCTGTCAGACTATCTACATGTCTGACTAAGCAGACAATCAATTATTACCATTCTCGCCCACACATCAGTAGGTAATTAATTGCTTGAAATTCTTATGAAATGAATTTTACAAGGTTTCAGTCCGAATCTCGCGGTGAGGGGTCGGGGATGCACACTGCTGAGGAGTTCCATACTAGGATTTCCATGGTGGTCTAGCTTCAATTGACTCATGAATTCAATTATTAAATTACTACAATCTCCACAAAACCCTTCTCTGATTATAATCATCATATGCTCATTAGTGACTGCCTTCAAGAGTTATTTCCTGGAGTTCTAATGAGGAGCCGTGATCAGTGGAGTTCAACCGGGTCTATTTTCAGATAGTAACTTACTTAACACGATGGTGGACGGTTGAAGTTAGACATTAACATTGTTGAATCCCTGTCCAGTGGTTTAAAGGCTAAGCGTCCGCGTGCGAGACTGATAAGTCCTGGGTTCGGATCTTGCTAGGCAGGAACGTGTGTGCGCACTGCCGAGGATTCCCATACTAGCATGAAACGGCTGTCCAGTGATTCCAGGTTTTCCATGGTGGCAAAGCTTCAATTGACTCATGAATTCAATTATTAAATTACTACAATTGGTGTGGGCTACTTATATCCATATAAGTAGCATATAACGGTGGTCTGGTATAGAATGTATTTCAACAAAAGATCGATAAGGAAAGAACGAAAATGGATCGCAATTGGTATGAAAATGCATGGACAATGAAATCTGAGAATATGGACTAATATTTGCAAAAGGCATGGTAAAATTTGAGACGATGAATTGATATTTTGCAAATTCACTATTTACTATATGGTTCTCAGATTTTAGTGAGATGCTCTGTAATTTTGTGTCAAATACATTCGATTGTCCCCGCTCGTGTTCTTGTTCACTACACAATCTCCACAAAACTATTTTCTGACAAGTATATATAACAAATTGATTCTAATTTAGGGGTTAAGCAATTATTATGAGAGATATGAAAATCCTGGTTTCGATCCATGATTAGGTTGTGAGTATTCAACTTATGAAAAACTTTATATGAGGATGAAACAGGTGTACATTGCTCGCTAATTCTCAAGTGATATCTCAACTGTGGTTGATGTGTTTATTTCCAAGAAATACGTTCTGTTTGAGAGGATTGATTAATTCTGTAAAATTATACAGAATTACATTTTCAAAACTTATTTATGTGTGGAAGGTTCAGAGAGCACAAAATGAGATAAATTCACTGTACCATATAAGGTTTAGGGTTATTACATGGTAAACTAGTGGAGAATCGGGAAATTTTAAAACAGACTTTAATTATGTAGATCAGATAATCTTCAAGTGACGATCTACGGATTTGAAAGTGATTTTCGATATTGTCCATAGAAAGATTATGTCTCACCATTTACCTATAAACAAAATATCAAGTGTTTATATCACGCTACTAAAATACCCCTTATTTGAACTAGTGTAGTTATTCGATTGTTCATGAAGAGTTATCATAAAGGAGCGATTATTGAAATGAAAACTTTTGGAATTATTTAACGGGCTATCGCTGATTACATATTTGTTGTATAATTATAAAATAACTGGATTAATTTATCTTTATATTCCCTGAGCTGTGAGCTTCCGTTGTAACTATTAATTACTGTTATGCGTTTCATTCTTTGTCCAATATGAATTGATTGGGTGTAAAGTGTGATGCTTAATTTGTTGTATTGTGACCTGATAAATCATGTGTACAAACTAATAAGTGCTTGAAACAATGACATAAAAACTTGATTGCCTGCTACGTTCTCTTATTCGGACTCATTACTAAGGATAGAAGAAGAAAGTGTTCTGGATCAATTAGAGTTAACATGATCCTTCATTTAATTAAAGGTTAATCGCTGCCAGCCGTGGTAGCGTGTAACTGGCTAAAACTTAAAACGTTAGTTAGCAGACGAAAATAGATTACTATAAATCCAGATTCTTATTGGTACAATTTCTCTAGTCATATCAATTCATAACAAAACTGGCGATTAATTGATGACCTTATAACATAACAATGAGTAATTAGTAAGAATTAATTGACCATAAAATGAAAATGAAATGGCGAGTAACCCCTTATTTGATTGGAGTGTGGATGACACAAGAAACTAATTCTTTTTCCCATTGTATTTGACATGTATTTATATCTGAAGAAGGATAATAGATTCTTAATTGTATAATAGTGTAAATATGTGTTCACAAAGTAAGCCATAGAACCATCAATTTAAATGCAACTTAGCTCAATTTAGACAAATCTAAATGTATATAAATCGTTTAAAAAGTAATGCTTTCATCAACCATTTTTAGATTTCAATTCACTTAGTATTGTTTACTTGAATTTTCCCATTGATGTTTAGAATAGTGATCGATCAATTTCTTATACTAAGTGAATTTAAACTTCACCCCATTGCACAACCAAATGGCTATCAGGACCCATTAGCTAAGTGAATAACGCGGTGGCGTTTGAAGCGATGTTACTGAGTTTGAGTCCCAGAGTGAACATCAATTCTGAGATGTAGGTACATCCAGATGAAGAGTCCCAAATAGTTTGAAACGTGCGTCCTGTATTCCACTGCTAGTCGCTATCCATCTTTGTTAACATTTTTTTTGGATTTATTTTGGGCATGGAATAAATCATTATCATTAGTCTTGCGTTCAAAGCATCGTGTAAATTTAGTCTGTAGTTATTAAAAGCGGTTACGAAATCGAATCGAGAGTTCGATTAATAGACTTATCAGTAAAAACAAAATGTATTATCATCATCATCATCATCGTCATCATCATATACTCACTAACCTTGTAAAATCAAATCTTTTGATAATAGTGGCATAAGTATGGGTTCAATTTCATCAACTTCTTGTACAATTAAACATTTTCCAAATCTAACAGCTAATTCTAATGTTGTTATAAAATTTGGGCTCTAAAAAACAAGAACAACACCAAATGATGATAGAATTAAACATTTAAATAATTCAAACTTTATACAACATGAGATTAGATCAATTTACATAGACTTCATTTTACCTTCATTATAACTGTTACATGTTGTAAGGAGGATTTACAATGAATTTCAATAGTATTTAATAGTAATAGATTTTGTATAATAATAATAGCAGTGATAATAATAATAGTAATAGCTGTTGTGACTTTATGTCCGGCTTTTTATCACGTGATTTATCCACCAATCAAAATACGACTTATACAATCTTAGCATTGTGCCAAGCCAATGGCGTTCGAACGGTAAGAGCAGCCTAGCGTCCTTATTGGCCCTATGTCAGCCTAATTCGTCCACTTGAGTCCAGAACACCAATACCAGCTTCCATTATGCGAATCGAATCGAATAATAACGCACCATAAAATAGGAAATAACATTTGTACACTATAAAGCCAAAAAGTGGCTGTGAACGTGGGAGGCAGTAGTCAATGAACTGAACATAACTTAAAAACAGTAAGTCGTACAATAATAAATTATAGGTCAAAATGAAGCTTATAATAAGAGGAATATAAATATACATAATCTAATTATTGAATAATTATACCATAAGAATGTATAGATAATATTAGTCTATTAATATGTCTCAGAAGTCACTCGTGATTTAATCTCCGCTCGGGCATAACAATAATAATAGTAATAATAATTATAAAAGTTATAAAATACATCCATTTACAATTTCTTTAGTTATGACTAAAACGTCTATTCATGTCATTCACAAATGCACCAATAAATGTTCCTTTTCTGTATTCAGTGTGTAGTTTTTATTATTATTATTATGGGTTGAGATTAGATAGAAAACTATTGAATGTAAGAGTATATTGGAAAATTATTTTATTCGAGTATAGAATTCCTTAGAATTGCTCATTCACGACTACAGTGAGGATAGAACTCAAGAACTTCAGATATTACAGATAAGGCGTGATCATCGAATTTAGTCAGTCAGCTACAACGTAGAACCAGGTACATATATGCATCATTCCAAGTTGCCATATCTCATTAGTACAACAAGATGAACACCGAATTCATAGAAGTAGTTACTGCAATGACAGTAATTTATCAAAGAAAGATTTTCTGTAAGGATATATATAGTACAGGAAGAAAGAATTAGTTGGTAGAAAGATATAAAGTAATTCTAATCTTACGGTTCAAGGGAAGATAAAGAGTGTATACACATACGCCATTGCGATCGATTCTGAGCCATGTCACCAAGAGTCTTTAACCATTGGTTTCGATAGTCGCGCGGACCTCAACCAAGTAGTCTGCATCTACCAACACAGCTAAGACAAGAAGTCAGTGACTTCATGCACTGATGCTACGTTTTGGTTTGGCTCTCCCCCCTTACTTTCTTCCAACTGTCTTCAACGCCAATCAGCATTGCGCATCGTGGTAATCGGTGTTCAGGCATACGTAACTCGTGGCTCAACCATCTCAGTCTATGAAGATCATCAAACTAAAATCTTGCAGTCTATATGATTGATTTCAATCAGTTTGGGATAATATTTCTCGGTTATACATATTTATCTAAAGATTCTTGATATATTTCTTATATACAAGGTTTTTCTAAATGCTCACTGTGTTAAATGGAGTAAAGTTGATAAAATGGTGTAAACAATTATCATGACACAAAGTATCTCTACATACAACTATAACAAACAAATATATATCATAAACAGTTAGCTAGAAATCCCTCAGATGTATTTCCTCGGAAAGGCATGAAAAGACGAATTTTTCAGAATATTTTAAATAAATAAGAGTAGTCTGGCAAATAAAAGAATGAGTTGGTTAAATATAAGCGTCTTAAACTTTAAAAAGGGGCAATCACTTTAGATGATACAGTAAATTACAATCTCTCATCAACTATACAAGATGCTTCCATAGAGTTTTTAAGTTTTTTCCTTGAAAGATACATCTTCTCTGCCTAACATCGTCTATCAGGGTAAAAGATGACTTGACATATACAGTAAGCACTGTAGACACCTCATTCATAGCAAACGATCAAACTGTTTTAAAGGAATCTTCTTTACTAACATTAGCGTACTTTTCCTAATGATCCTATTATACATACATTATTTGTTGAATACCTACCTGATTTAAGTAGACGTTTTAAATAAGTTTATCAAAAACATAGTCTAGGAGAACCGTCTTTTTTAAAGAAAACTCAATCAACTCCTAGTTGTAATACAAAAGCATAAGCTACATTTATTTAATTCGTCGAAATTTGTAGCTTATTTTACGATATCTTCAAGCTGATTAGAAGATTGAAATCCAAGAAATAGGAATCAAATGATACCATATAAGAAAAAAGTTGATTAATTTGAAATGTATTTCCAAAAAGTTCCTCATTTCACATTATGTTTGAAGTAGCTTACTTGTTGATTTACAATTTCTAAACGTTGATCTTTCAAATAAACCTTTAACCAGTTTAATGCTCTTGACGACGGATCAATAATGAATGGACACATTGTAGTCTGAAAAAAAATATATGAGTATACACAGAAATCTTAAGAAATATAAAACATATTGGAATAGTGCAATATTACTCTTTGTTATAACGTTACCATGATATAAAAGATTGATATATAGGACTGATATTTGTAGGTCAAATTCCTCTCCCTGAATGCGATTTTACAGATTCTACAATTCAACTAGTTGAGACATTATTATTATTTATGGTTTCAAAAAGAATATGATGCTCCTACTGCAGTCTCCTGTTACATAATTCATAATGGCAAGATGAATCTTCTTGGCTAAAAGAAGCCTCTCCTATCTGAAGTTTACCTTTTAATCAGTAACATTCTTGTTTACTTGTATACTAATTATGTGATCTTTATCTCTTTTTTACTAATCGACATTATTATCGTCCCAAAACATCTGTGACGCTTGAAATATAAGTAACATAGATACAATTTGTATTTGACTTTAATTATTTAAACCGTCTTTATATGATTTATTCGTTCGATCATGCCGGAGTCAAACAGGCATTAAAACATCAAAGGAGTTGCATAGTGAAATATGTGTTTGATCATTTAAATTGTTGACTTACATGTACAATAGTAACAGCATTTTCTCCTGATAATTGATCTGACGATAGACCTTGACTATACCATAACAACTGCTCATGTTCAGTAGATAAAAATCTACGTAAATCAAAATCTTGACTTGGTGTGCGATCGTTGTTTATCTCAGAAGATAAAGATGTTGGCATTATACCAAGATTAGTTAAATCTTTAATCCAATTTGTGATTTGTTGCCGACGCACATCTTCAGGACAAGGTGATAAATAAGTTATGAATGCAGATGCAATCAGTGCGAATGGTGGTAGACTAGCTAACTGTATAGTTATTTCATTGATCTGCAGAAAATCAATTATACCAAAATATTAAATCTTATTTTTTTCTATTAATAAACACAATGTAAATACGACGCTCATTGTTTCTTGGATGTCAAAGGCAATGAACAGTATGATAAAGCACATTTACTAATCAAATTAATGATAAAGAGAAGGGTGCATTCTATGTTTAATAAATATCTTATAGATGCTAATGGTATTTATTATATATAATTCTTATTGATATTATACCACTTTGGTCTAGAGATACATTTGGATTAAATTTTAGTATAGATTGCTACTAGTGACAGAATCGTTGAAATCAAGCATCAATGAAGAACTGCTTAGTTTTAGTATGGAACTCTTTACAAGTAAGCACGAACGCCTCCACTTGAGACCAAACACAGGACCTTCAAGTCTCATAACGAACGCTTAGCCATCTGACTCTCTATCCAGTGATTTCATTAGACCTGGAGGTTCTGAGCTCGATCCCCAGAGAGGTCGTAGTGTTCATTATTGAGAAGTTCAATACTAGAACAAAACAGTTGTCTGGTGATCTTTGGTTTCAATAGTATCTCAGATAAGATTAATCTGTGACGAATACAATCTAAAAATTCATTTAGTACTCATCCTATTTTTATAACCTCTACCTTAATTCATAGCATTTCATGGATTACATAATCTCTGACTGAATATTTAATATGGTTATTCAGTTTGTAATTATTTCTGCTATTATAAGTTGTCCATATACATACTGACCAATTATCAAGAAATTTTATTTAACCTACACAAACCGATTCAATTAGACGATACGTAACAGTCATTTTAACATTATAAAATAATAGAAAGCTTATTGTGCTAACAATTGTATATTCTAAAAGTCCGTTTAGCTTAAACTAGGGGTATTCTTTAGACCATAGATATGAACTCATGACTGCGTAGAGTTTGATGAAGATTTATTAAAAGAATATTCTTCGTTCACATTTATGTGAATGTTTTAAAATAAAACTGACTAAACTTAAGTTTAGGGCTGAATAACAGCGATATCTAAGATGATCTTGAGAAATTCTTGACCTCTTCCGGTTGTTTTTGAAACAGAAGATGTGAATATAAATGATTTATGACAGAAAAGGTAACATTTTACAGAGTATATCGTGTTTACATTACCAATGAATTTTCCTAAGTTAAATATAGGTCCGTAACAGCTTCTACTTTATTACACATATATGTGATTTTTATCAGAAGGGGTTTTGTAGAGATTTTAGAAATTTCACTGATTAAAATCATGAGTCAATTGAAGCTAGACCACCATGGACAACATGGGAGCACTGGATGACCGTTTCATCGTAGTATGGAACTCCTAAGTAGTGCGCACCACGATCCCGCACCCCGCGAGATTCGAACGCAGTCTCGCGTCAGGCGCCTAACCATCTAGATCACTGAGCCAGCATCCAACGGTGTTCACTAGTGAATGACTTCAAGAGATACTCCTGGAGTTCTGGTGAGAAGCCATTACCAGTGGAGTTCAACCAAGTCTGTTGTGAGATATCAAATTACTGAAGACAATGGTGTATGGTGGTGCAATTTCGTGGATTGGTTGAAGTTAGACATTAACACCGTTGGATACCGGTTAGCTCAGTGGTCTAGTGGTTAAGCAAGACTGGTGTGAGACTGATAGGTCCTGGGTTCGAATCTTGCAGGGTGCGGGATCGTGGTGCACACTGCTGAGGAGTCCCATACTACGATGAAACGGCCGTCCATTGCTTCCAAGTTTCCCATGGTGGTCTAGCTTCAACTGACTCATGATTTCAATCAGTGAAATATATGTGATTTATCATAACTTTTGAAATGATAAGTTATCCTGATCTTTCCAGTTATTCTGTCATCTATATACGCAACCTTGACTATGCATGTGTAATAGTGCTGATGTGGTGAAAGTATACTATACTAACGACCTTGAGCAACTTAACAGCCACTCAGGAAACGCTGTCTTGTTGATCAGTAATCAGAAATAAAATTAGAATGGAATAGTGATTTGAATATGATGAGTAACTATTTAAATGTTAAATTACTCTTTCTCGTAAAGAATAAAGGTCAAGTCTACATATCAACAGTTGGGTTACTGACATCACCAACATATCAAGGAAGTTAGTGCTAAGTAGTAAGAAATTAACTAAAGTTATGTGTTAGGATTATGTATTAGGTTAAGGATATTCATCATGAACCAGCATCAGTTATAATGCAATGATGCATTGTTACACTTCTATTAACAAACTTAATAGCTTTGAGATTGAAATTTGGAATCGAGAATTAGAGTAAGTAAATACTATCTAGCTACAGAAATACGTTTGACTGTGAGTTGATTCACATTAAGTGCGTGAACATATAATCTGCATTAGGAACAGGTATGTCTTGCGTTCTGGCCTAAGCACCATATCATGTTCATTATTTGGTTGCAAAGTAGATACCTTTTTATCAATTACAAGCATTTTAACAACCAAATATTTTTAATTTTTACTTGGTTAATCACAATGTGCAAGTTATCTAGCACTAAACTTCTGATTTCGCGCAAAGTTATACAAGGAACTACCTAAACTTTGATTGATTCATTCTTGGTCGTCAATTTAGTACACTTTTATCCATATGTGTCTACATACTTGTTTGTATCTATCGTACCTATAAATTCTGAGGATTTTTAAAATTACGTTGAACAGGCACTTTTACCTTCGCTTCTTTTTCCTTATTATCTGGTTCGAATAATGGATGTATAAAATATGCATGATCAAGATTATTCTTGTATTTGACTCGTTTTATTCCGTTATTCAAAAACTCAGATTATGCTGATAAATATATACGAAGTTAATTGGTACATATTTTTCATAAATATTATCGTTCGATGATAAAGTAGTCATACAATAGGGACTACAGATCTTTAAACGTTGAGGTTAGTGTTAAAACTTAAGGTTAGAATATTCATATAACGTTTTATATAGGATGGCAGAACTCTCACCAGAATTTTTATCTTAGCTCTGATGCTAACCATAATCTTAGCTATAAACTGCAGTTTTAGACCGTTACCTTAAGCCTTAAGTGATATTTTCTGTAATAAAACTAACCACTATACAAACGACAGTTAATATCCTGGTTTGATATATGCACCAAAAACTTGAAGTGGCTTTTTCGATCAAGACTGGTTCATTTGTATAATTAAAATTAAATGCGAAATGTTCAGTAACAGAATTTCAGATTGTATCAGATTTACCTGATTATCCCAGCGTGTATGCTCACTTTCTAATTCACCGACTAATGTTTCAGCTGACAACAATGTTTCACGTGTTTTTTCAAGCTCCATTTTTAAATTTGCTGCTTCGGATGTACGCTTTTCAAAAACAGTCCGTAGATTAGCTACGTTAGAATCTACATTACTTAAACCTTTACTTAAACTTGTCAATGAATTTTCAGCTTGAATTAATGATTGTTTTAATTTAGCATGCTCTACTTCTAATGGAGCAATACGTTCCAACACTTTAGCATATTGTACATTAGCACGAACCCATGTGGCTAAAGGAGCAGCTGCGACGGATGCACGTTTAGCAACCTATTTAAACAAATATAAAAATGAATCGATAAACAGACCAATTCAATTTAGATCTAGCAAAAAAATCTATAATGAATCTGCAACAAAATAAAAACATTTTGAATACATAAAATAGGCCGAATTATGCCAACACATTTTAGAAGCATATACTTTAGATAAGTTCATACAAAGAGCTGAGATTAGTTGAGTAACCATCGAAAACTATTCAACACTAAACAAATGTCCATTCCTACATTAGGACATGCAAATGTCTACACTTACGAACCCACACTTTACTGAAATCACTAACTTCAAATCTCATAGTAGCCATGAGTTCTATACTATATGGGGTCATATTCGTTGCTAAGACGTCATAACATTAAGCCTAACCAGCTGGAAAGTACTTCTAGTTTGTTCAAGGTTATCCAGCTAATATTAGTCTATAATGATAACCCAATTTAAACGAGACACACTTGATAAATCCCTTTAGATATATTTATAAGTTGACTTACTGTTGATTAAGTTGAAATAGATTTCATGCTGAGGATGATTAATTCATGCATTGAGTCAATTGTTGATCATTCTAATCTGACTTATTAATATAGTTCATAGTGAATGACAGGTATCAGATGACTATCAATAACGTCAGTTAAAACCTCGAATTTTAAAGTCTAATCATTTTTTAAATAGTTCAGAAAATGAAAACTGAATACGCGCTTTCTATTTATTCCGATAACAATCAAGCTTATAGCGCAAAGAGATTAAAAAGTGATCCAATTAGGAAGGAACTAATATTGGTTCAAGCCTCCTTTATATATACATAAGACCAAATTTGTCAGTGTAATAGTTTGATATTACAAAAGACAAATCATTCATGTGTCACAAATTTATCTGAATATCTCTTGGATTTCTAGATAATCCATCTTATTCAGACTGATAAGTTCAGTAGTCACTTGAATAGTTGAATTCATGGGTTGATGCAAGCTAGACCACCGTTGAAAACCTGGAAGCACTGGACGGCCGTTTCGTCCTAGTACGGGACTCCTCAGAAGTCCGAATCCACAATATTGCATGCGAGACTCGAACCCAGGACTTTTGACGACGCGCGCAAACTCCTAGCTTCCATATCACTGAGCCGGTATCCAACGCTGTTAATGTCTAACTCCCATCGATCCATGAATGACTGTGCAACCATTCATCTATTGTATGGGGTAGATACCTGTCTCTACCCGACACGGATTGAACTCCACTGGTTACAACTTCCCACTAGAACTCCAGGAAATCATCTTGAGGCCAGTCACTAGTGATCACATGGTGATTATGATCAGAATGGGTTTTATTGCGGAGATCATAGTAATTTTAATAGTTGAATTCATGTACATGAATTCATATACTCATGAATTCAACTATTTTGTATCAAATATGAAACTGACTGACATAATAAAAAACCTAAAAATGTACATAATCTATAGTGTATATCAAACAACTGTTTAATATACTCAATTCAATGTGTAGTTCATATTGAGCAAAGATAATATCATAATGATAGTAAGAATATTGTAAAAGTTAGAGCTGGTTTTTGCATTGATTATTATTTATATTTTTGTTACGTAATCAATAAGTGACTAGATTAATATGTATGTATTTTCTGTTTATCATACGTTTCCGTTTTACGTATTAACAATAATTGTACTATTGATCATTCCTATTTTATTGCCAATTGATTATTCATAGCTTTTCCTATTCATGGCCATTTTTGGCTCGTTTATGTGTAATTTTTGTTCTCATTCTTTGGTGTGTTGTAGTCCGGTATGTTTGTATATAACCTACAAATATTTGAAGCATACTGATAATAGGAACTGGTTTCTGACTCTTTGGACTCAAGGCAAGCCATAGGGAAAATCTTGGAAATAATTGGGCCAATAGGATTCTAGCTGCGTCGGTTCATGGTCAGTGGTGTTGGTTAAAGAGTACAACTGTCAGATCTAGGACAATAGGTCATAGAAGAAATAGTAGATGCGGAATAGACAAAATTAGAACTATGATTCTGATTAGTGAATTTAGCATGTGATATCGATTAGCGTTTCAAGATATAATAATAAACATTTAATAAATATATTTACCCTTGGTTCAAAGGATTCTTGGTTTTTTGCTAACAACTCCTCAACACTAAGACGTAAATCTGGTGTAATTTTTCTAGCATCAAAATTCAAAATCTCCTCTTGAACTCCTCTTTTAGCTAAAAATCCACGCATACTAACCCATGATGTATCACGTATGCCCATAAGTAATAAAACACCCTCTAATATATCACGTATAATATCCGGTGGTGCACGTAATGCACGAATTTCAGACAAAGCTTCTGACTTTATATTTCCAACAGCAGATCTAGCTTGATGAACTAGTGGTTCAATTTCACTGAGTTCTGCATCAATTTCCAATTTTCGACGTTCTAAACGAGTGGATTCATCTGTTGTCCGACTTTGTAATTTCTCCATTTCTGAACGTTGTTCAGCTGCACCCTAGGAATGAAACATAATATTACGACATACAACTTTGTATAAGAGACCTTCGCAAACAGTATCGCTGTGTACAATTTGTCTGAAGGAAATGTCTGAAAGTAGAGTAAACATGTATCTCGCATACCTTTACATACTGAAGCAATCACTACACTACCAACCTAAGTTTTTCATTTGAATTTCATATCATGGGAAGCAGGTTGGTAGTGAGCTTTACGTAACACTAACTCTTAGGGTAACAAGATTAATTTATACTAATAATTAAATACTCAATATACTCAGTCAATGGGATGTATACTTTTACTAAGGGAATAGGTAAATCAATAAAACAGCTTAAATTACTGGAAAAATACAACTCTGCTATTTTACTGAGATCACAAACTTATCTAACTTAGACCACTAGTGAAAATGACTTAGTACTGGACACCTGTTTCTTCGTGGTATGGAACTCATCAATAGTTTGCATCAACGAAACTGTCATGGAGGATTGAACACAGAATCTTCGGTCTCGAGTGCTCACGATTAACCTCTAAGCCACTGAGACAGGGTTCAACAGTGTACAAGTTTGACCTTAATCAATCCATAATATTGTGTGACCATCTTCTATTGTCCTTGATGGGTAAACTCTTCACATTCAACACAGTTGAAAGTCAATGATCATGGCTTCTCATTAGAACTCTAGAACTTTCCTTTCAAAAACAGTCATTAGTGGGCACATAAAAATTAGTTAATTAAAATTATGCTTATACATTAGCGGTCTACAGGACCGAAGGTCCTTAGTTCGATCTTCAGATGCAGGGTCGTGAATTCACTCTACTGGGGAGTTCAATTCTAGATCAGAAGGGTTCATTAGGGTTTCCGAGTTTTCAGCAGTTGTCCCTATAATGCCGATGCTGACGTCCAGATAGCTTTGTAATTGTAATTCCCAACATTAGCCTTCATTTTCAAGTTTACCATTAGGGTAAAACTCTTTTACTTAAACATATTAATTACAAGGTGTTGCCTTAATTTTCATTGTATTTTCCACGATATCATCAATAAATCCATAAACTTCGTAACTGATTTTATTTACAAGACGAATCGCATATGATAACTCATACTTTCTAGAAATCAATAATAAAGATAACAAATGGATAAATGATGCAGTCTAAGAACTTATACGGTTATACATGTAAAATGTCAAACTCAAACGTAATATAATTGTAAAAATCGTCGATTGCCCCGTTGTTGACTAAATCTTGGTAAACCTTAATTATTATAAGTACATCCAGAGCGGATTGCCATTTTGTCAAAAGTATTTGAAATATATCAATTCCAGAGAACAATCTAATCCGGGAAGTGGGCTTTGTCGTTTTTAAAACTGGTTAAGTGAATGTCTTGCATCCTGGTTCTGATGTTTACACTGAGACTCAAACACTATCATCTTTTGCTTCAAACACCCATTGCGTTATCCAACAAGTCATTGAGTCCAAATAGTCACTAACTCTTTTAACGAGTAAGATTTTTAAGTTAATTTTAATAGAGACTAACCAAAACTTGTTTTTGAATCTTAAAAAAACATGACAAGAACTGCAACTATTGAAGATTTTGGTGGGCATATGAACTCAGTAGCTGTGGATAACGTGTTGACGTTTTGGGTGGAAGTTTTGACTTTCAATGTAAATAAAAACACTGGATTTCGGGTATATACATGTAACAATTCTCAAACAAAACGGAATATTAGTTTTGAATTCCAATGTTATCCATAATCCATCTATTCTACAACTCAATACTGTCAATAAATTTCACAAACTGAGTAACCCATTCCTGGACAATTGGCTATGATTATTAAGAGTTAAACTACTTATTAATGAGTTCAAAAAGAGTCTACAATTATCGCTGTTTGGCAAATTTTCCTCAGATATGCAAAAAATAGTTCTCAGAAGAATTTTTATCTTGTCACTTCTCAATTAAAAAAGTTTACGAATCAGGCGCCTTCCTTCCTAGTTTAAGAGTTTGTGACTAACCGAATACCACAGGTTTCTGATAAGACACTGAAATTTCCCTTATTCATCAATGAACTGGATGTAAACACGTGCGAGATATTTCATTAATGAAGCGACATCAATTACTGAATAAAAATGAGGTTGGTCCTCAGAACATATGAACGGGAAGGTCGTGGAAAACGAATTCCTTATTTTCTCTTCAATATCTGTCTACCAGTTGTCATTCTGGTATTGTCGAAAAGTCTGAATAATTAATAGGAAACTTCATCAGGAAGACGACAATTCGTCATAACGTTTGGTTAAGGGTTTTACACAACAGACGAATGTTATTTGTTTTCTAATATTCAGTAGTATTTCTCTAAATTATTTTTCCGAAACTTTACCCTTATACTATTGTCTAGGTATAGCCAGAGCATAATGTGATGTTGCCCAAAGCGTTTTCTAAACTACTTACATTTTTCCATCATATCAAGGTACAAAGGTATACATGAAGAGTGTCTTTCTCAATAAATCCCATTAAGATCTAGTAGCAGTGTGTCCCAGTTAATTTATGAATTATTTCTAAACTACTATTATAAGTTTGTAAGTAGAGTACAAAAATAACAAAAAAGTCAAATATCTAGTTATTTATACCTGTATTGCAGCGCTTATTTGTTCTAAAGCTTTATCAGCTTCAGTTTGTTTTTCAACCAGCAGTTCACCTTGTTCAACTGCATGCTGTTTCAATTGTGTTACACGTTCACGTGCTTCTTTCAACTTGATTAAACCACTTTTTAGTCGTTTAACTTCTGATTGTAATTTTTGTCTATGATTTTGTTCCACTCGGGCATAATTATTGCATAATGAAATAAAGTGACGTGGTGTGGGCATCATCATATGAGGATAAGGAGCTGAATTATGAATGTTGACACAAGCTTGAATAAAACTATTTGTGTTATTCGGTATACAAGATTTAGGTATCAGTAGTTTAGGAATTTGAAGTAAACTAAATTTAGACCAACAATCCATCGATTGAACAGAACAATATTTATAAAATGAAGGATTCGATTGTAACCAATTACTGAATAATTCATAATCATCTATATCTAGAATAATGGCAAAATGGAGATTCTTATGAATACGTTCAGCAAAGAAAGCAGTTAGTGGTCCACGATGCCCAGCTTCTGCTGCTTGTTCTTTGAAATTCACTCCACTTTTTGATGCAACACTAGACATTAGTGTTTCTAACTCATCAGCACTAATTAAACCACTTGCTTCACCACACGCCAAAAGACTATTAATAATTTCCAAGAAGTAGTCACTTGTCAATTGATATTCTTCAATAATTAATAATGTCGGCTGATTTTCAATACCTGCTGCTTGGCATACTGTTTTAATATCAGTAATAAAATGACGCATTTGATAATCACGACCAGTGTGTAAACGGAAAACATTCAGCTGATGTATATGAGCGACTATATTGAGAGCAGATCTACGGCCTATACCAGATCTACCGGCTAGTAATAATGAACCTGATGGACGACTAAGCACACGATCAATACGACATATATAATCAATGAAATCTGGGAATAATACTAAATTTTCAGCTTGTGGAGATTTCTCTCTGGCTAATTGTTTTAATCCTTTCAGGACTGTTTCTTTCATTTGCGTATAAGTTATAGATCCTAGTGGTCGGCCATGTAATGGTATTGGGCTACCTGGTGGTAATTGGTGCTTCCCACTCCATGTGACAAACCAACACATAGCGTTTTTAAGAAGATCATCATCATTATCAAATTGATTAATTCGTTCTTCATTTTCAACTAATTCAAAATCCTCTGTAGCCATCTTTAACGTGATTTGCACTTCATCACATTTCTCATTTGATAATTCCCACTTATGTTTTCGCTTAGGTAGATCATCAACATTATCAGTTCCATTCAAACAACTGCATAAAATCTTATTGAATAATACATCGAATTGATGACGTGCATTTTCACCGGGCAAACAATCACGAAATAAACGTTTTGCTTCATAACCGAATACTGCCCAGATGTAATTGACTGATATATTTAAATCGTAGCGCAATAATCCAGTTACCCATTGAGTTAACAAATGAGGTGTAAATACACAATGAGCATATTCATCAGCGCGAAAATTATGTTGTAGTTCAGATAATATTTGAATCATTATAGTAGACATATTATGTATTCTAGCTGGATTAAAAATTGTTTTATGAGTACTATGTTTCATCCCATTATCATGATTTAATTGTTTTGAACCAAATGATTGGTTATTTGCTTGTAATTTAGAAACAATGATAGCTTGTAATAAACAAGCATATATATTAACCAATTGATCTTTATCAGGATAGTTTATCACAGTTAAACGTAAAGCCGATGTGAATCTCTTCGATAAGGAATAACGTCCAAGTCCTATTGATGTGGTAGATGGTGTAAAACTGCCAACAAATTGAATTCCTTCAATACTTATGAATTCTAAACTGGTTGGATCATAATATCCTTGATAAGTCAGTATCTGTTAACAGGAGATGAGAACAAAAATACAAAAATGAAAGTGGACAATAAATTCAGAGTAATTAAAGCCGACTAATCAATTAAACAATTAAACTGACTGTCTCTCTCGATATCCTTCAATGGATTTCACTAGCTGATTGAGTGACATGAAAACATGAACATGGAGGCAACTTCTCAGAAACTTCATGCAACTGGTTATCTTTGTGAATTTGAATAAAACCAGAGCAAACATTGATTCAGAATAATATGAATGCATTATATTTCGTGGTTTCTCATCAGCTGCTTACAACCATATATATACATATATTGGAAGTTAACACTGAGGTAAGAAATAATGTAAAACAATTGACATAAATGAACGAAAAGAATTAGAATGACAAATTTATGCATCGCCCACCCCTTATGGTTTGGATTCTAGCTACAAATGACCTCTGATCGGTACTTGAACATATAGTTACTTATTTACTTACGCCTGTTACCCTTCATGGAAGAGCATGGGCCACAGACCACGATTCTCCATCGAACTCTGTCCTGGACAATTCTTCACAATGGTTTTAGTTGATAATCATGCGTTTACTGGTCTTTCTCTTTTCCGTCTCCCTTCAGGATTCCAAATTGGCGCTTACTTCGTGATGCAGTTTAGTTATGTTTTGTTCACTTCCAGCATCTTTTCCTAATTTCCTCTTCAGTTGAAAGCTGGTTTGTTCTCTCCCACAGTAGGCTGTTGTTGACGGTATCCGACCAACAGACATTGAGTATCTTGCATAAACAATTGTTTGTAAATACTCGTACTATTTTGATGATGACTGTAGTAGTTTTCCGCCTGTAGCTCTTCTAGGGTTACTGCCGGTCACAAGTCCGTGTAAAGGAGGAGGGTTGGGTATGTGGTCAACAACCCCATCTAATAGAATACAATTTTGCTAAAAAAACGCATTATATCTGACATCAATGTTAACTTCCAATATATATATGGTTGTAAGCAGCTGATGAGAAACCACGAAATATAATGCATTCATATTATTCTAAACCAATGTTTGTTCTGACTTTATTCACACTGACTGTCTGTCAATCACCATAAACGTAAAACCTAATTCCATGCTACATCATTACATAAAGATAAAAATGAAAATATGAATACTGAAAAAGTCAAAAGAATAATGATGTCAACGATAGTAAGGAAGTTTGAACATAGAACATATAGTTCAAACAAAAGGAATGAATTCTCGATATGAAATCTATGAAATAGTAGTGAAGTAAAGATTTAGTAGAAAGTAAAGAACAAATATATCTGCGCTTATATGAATATTTTTATGACTGCCAATGTCTTTTAATCATAGAATACAATTATTGCACAATTCCAAATCTAAGTAATTGACATTCATTAACACAGCTCAATTTGGTAAACATTCTATTCATGAACAGTTGTCATATCTCACAGGTTTTTAAATCATGAGTCAGTTGAAGCTAGACCACCATTGAAAACCTGGAAGCACTGGACGGCCGTTTCGTCCCGGTATGGGACTCCTCAGCAGTGCGCATCCACGATCCCACACCACGCGGGGCTCGAACCCAGGACCTACTGGCTTCGCGCGCAAGCACTTAGCCATTAGACCACTGAGCCGGCATCCAACGGTGTTAATGTCTAACTTCAACCAATCCACGAAGTTGCGCCACCGTACACCATTGTCTTCAGTGAGTTGTTATCTCACAACAGACCGGTTGAACTCCACTGGTAACGGCTTCTCATGTCATATCTTTGAAATGAATCTTATTGTGACTTATTGATGATTCATGTTTAGATTTTACAGAGAATTCTTTTACAGTTACACTTAATATAAAACCTTAATTCAGTAACTTTTATTAACTGTCTTCAACTATATGAAAATCATTGATTTTGTTTAAGATTGAATATGTCATTTATATTTCTTGTACAATAAAATTCATTATACTGTACAAAAGTAATGGGAACACTAAATCATACATTAAATAATGATAATAATAACTAATGTAAAAAGTTGAAACATACTTGTTGTAAAAATGCAATTAATTGACATGATCCCCATTTATCTGGTTTAGATAGATTAAGATCACGTAAATATAAAATAAGTTGATCACCTTCTTTAGGACGTAATACACGTCCATTAGACATTTTTGAAATTGTATTTATAACACAAATACAATATTGCATTAATTTATTTAAAATATGATTTGGTGTTGTTTGAGCTGAACATTGAATAGTGATGACATGAATTGATTGAGATAATGTAGCAAAACAATAATCTAATAGAAGACTTTTATGAAATATGAAATGTAAAAAGAATGGAAATAGGAAAATGCTTGAACTTCTTTTGATAATAATAATAATAATAATAATAATAATAATAATAATAATAATAATAATAATAATAATCAGGAGATCAATAATATTAACCGCTAAATATGAATGTATAATTGAAAAGTTAGAACATTCAGAACTATTCTGCCAGGAATTTTCGATCCCAGAATACATAGAGAAAATATTTACAATAAATTCAGTTGACAATTTTAATGCTTCAATTAGTTACAGGGGATACAAGTTTATTTTACTTTATTTGAACATATAAATGTTGGTACAAGAGGGCACTAAATACTTATGCGCTACACCATATTTGTGTGTTTGTGGGCTGTAATACTGCTCGAATGCCCATACCGAAGCAGGTGGTTTTCTTAGGAGGTCATACTCCGAGCCTTTGACCTAAAGGTCTGATCCACAAGACAGTGAAGCATCGTGAGGAGATGCAGTCCCATGGTAACCGGTGACTACCAACAGGTTCATACACCATTTGTCCCTTCAGGATACTGAAGCCCATGTGCACCATTGGTTTGGGACCCAATTAAAGCGCCGGATAATCGCTTTTCGTCCTCTCATTTTCGTAAACAACACCGTCACCACGAGAAGGCAGTGAGCAGGACTTGTAGTGCCAGTCATTAGTTTTAGCCCATAATATATCTTATTCTAGTTTTCGGACATCCCATCTATTCATTCTACTTGAGTCACATGTTGACCTTGTCAATTATTCGCTTGTCAGTCTTGATTGTTTTTATATGGGCACGTAGGTGTATACACATCATATCCCATGACTCATTGCATGTCTGTAGCTTTATTTCTTCTGACTATAAATATTGAGTAACGCTTGACTAAAATGGAGTTGGCTTCCCAGCCATCCCCCCTGCGTGTCATTTTGCTTTGCTATGTTTCGTTCGCTTCATATACAAAATATATGTATTCACAAATAAAAAAAATGTCTGCTTTCGAAAATAACAGTGAAGTGATGCGTAGTTAACGTTAGCAGTAAGTAGCAGAAAATTGAACAACATTCGATAAAGTACAGTGTCACATGAGCGGTGAGTGTATTTTATGAAAATACGTGAATATCGCAAAAGCGCGGACAAAAATGAAAGCGTTAACATGCGAATATGAGTAAATTAATGAGCGTACAAAACATTTACATGTACTAATGCTATGACTGTCTGTACGATAAAATAATGCGTTCTTATGAGCGATTCAAAATATCGTGAAAATAGTGATAAATTGTTTGTTGATATGACAGCGAAATAAATGGTGA